CACAAACGAACAAAACATTCAATTTCATTTGTCACTTTATTCCAGAACTAGTTTAACAAATCCTACGAAATAAAATTGCCATTATTTACGGTGCCGTAGTTTCACTTTCAACGAATTCTGAAAACTTTGCTTTATTTTTGGTCTTGTCACGACATAAGAACATGTTCCTTCGAGCATGGTCTTATGTCGTGATAATGCAAAAATTCGAGAAAACATATTCAACTGAGTGACAAGAATCAAATATTTATTACATTTTCTCCTCGCTTAAGAAAAGTTGGTAGCAACCCTTGCACTTTGTTTTGATGGGATATGTTAAACTCTCGTTTAAAAAGTTTTTTCCTCAACGAAATTGACTTTACCCATCATGGTGACCCTGAATCCAATTAATTTGGTGCACACGATACCCATTTACTTTCTATTCTTAGGTGCAGAAGATTGCTTAAAGAAGTAACTGAGCCCGTGTTGCACATCACATCATCAAGTTTGAAATCAAATTATTACCATGTGCTCTAAATTCGAACTAAAACCATGGCTCAACCTATCCCGTCGTCAACCCTGTTTAAGCATGACGACGTGTTTGAATAGAAGAGAACCAACAGGTTCAAAGCGAATTCAATCTTTCATTCCAGATAAAGACCGCACTACCCAAGCCACACCACCAATTGGTATGTTTCCCAGTCCCCTGGGCATACTGAAGGACTCTTCACTTCAAAACTTTGGAGAGATTGGACAAATATTTGGACTCTTTGGAATCCTCAATCTCAAACAGCGCAATGATGCTGATGATGCTGATGGTGCGAACAAATACATTCGATGCATGCAATCCACCTTGTTTTAATAACCCTGGTTTTACTCCATTTAAATTTGCCATCTCATTTGCTCATTATTAATTTTCCTTACTAGGCCGAATATTTTATCATGAGCTATTTTTGTCCCAATAGTAAGAATTCTATTTCAGTGTGAATCTAGACAAGGATCTAGACGTGTAAATATTATGTCAAAAGTTATACTCTTCCGTATTCTTCGAGAAACTTGGTTGTTCCAAAGAATTTACTACCGACTTGGGCTAGTGAGGCGGATTTTCTTCAGGTTATGGGCATACAGCCTGCGAAGGATGAGGAAGAGGAGGGAAAATTTAATTAAAGCAAGCAAATTCCTCCGTCATCAAGACCACCGGAGAATGAGTGTACAGGGCCACGGTCATAAAACTTGTTCGTGTGTGGTGGTGGTGAAAGCTGCTGGCTCCCATGTTCCAAGTTTAGCTCAGGAGCAGAGGGTAGCCCGGCAGAGAAGGTAGAAACAGAAATAATGTACGGTTTGTGACTGTTCAATTTTGGGAGAAAGTCAACCAATGCAATTTCACTGGGGAACGCAATTCATCTCATTCGGTGCATAAATCACGTTGCTCATTGCGGCTTGTCGTTGGCAGGTTTATCATTGTGAAGTCAAGTCGTACCACAATGACCAACTTTGTGAGTCATTCTCCAAGAAATAATTGAAACTTGGATGGAAATACCCTCGCCACAATACAGCCTGCCTCTCCTCTTCCAAGAACTGCGTCCAAAGGTGATGATTCCCCTTCAGTTTCAAGTTGAACTAACAGGATTTAGCTTAATATTGCAGTATTACCAGTATTACACCCATATGCTGTACGATTATCGTGTGTATTCTCTTAGTGGGATGATAATTATTGCAGAACGTTTATGCAAATTGGGCTAAATTATGAGTCGTAATGACAAACCCAAATTGTAATGACGCCTTCATTTGTTCATTATAGACCTCTCGTAGGTCGCGTTGGTGCAGACTGACGAGAAATGGGTGGAACTACTTATTTTGAATTTCTTATCTATACTATTGTATTACGTAAGCGGTATGTTGCTTAAAAATTTTGGTCTGCACGGTTTTACTGAACATTTCGCCTCTGATGAAAATGAGAACAATTCAGTTGAAGGATTCACATGTCGATATATATTTTTATTCGTGCTGCACTCATCTAATTTTGAAATTAATCCTGAGAGCTGGTAAGTAGAAAGTTTGTCGTTGGTTACAAAAAAAACTGAAAAGTTTAAACTAAAGCTAAACACAATACCCGATATTATTTATAACAACGTTAAGCATAAAGTAATTCAGATTCCTGCGAAATATGGTTTTATGCCTTTCATTCGTACAAAATATGTGCATCAAATAGTTAACTTTATATAAACCCATAAGCTTACTTTAAAGATTAAAATAGCACTGTTTCTGATATGACAACTCCATCGTTTAAAAATATCTTCCGTGCATACAAATTGGAAGATGAATGTGAAAGTTAGGTGGACGGCTTTTGCTGTCAAAGCGAAACGCAAACAATGAATTCCGAATTTTCGTACTCCTACATCACACACCATGTTTCCAATCAGGTCCAAATTATTTTTCCACAAAGTTCAATCTATTTTTGGAAACATTATCAAGCAAACCCGTTTATTTTACATATTCTTCTCATACATATTTAGGAATGCATACATATTTAGGAATGCAAAATTGCATTTATTTCTCATTCCTCTCTCCCTTTCTCTACCTCCTTGATAAAGTTTTTGGTTTTGGGAGAGAAACTCGAGTGGAAATTCTGTCGCTCAAGTTGTTGACTGTAACTTTGTCTCGTCTCAACTCAAATTTGTCTCGTCTCAACGCAAAATTTTCACCCGCATCGCCACCAGTATGCCGATGACAAGTTTGCTTTCCCAGCCTATACATAATTAAAGGACGGGGGATAAAGGCAAGTAGAAAAATGAGTGGTGTCACTTTTGTGCTGGATAAATGACCTACAAAGTTGCTTAGTTCCTCCATTTCCTTCAGATAAAGTGACTTTGGAATGCTATTTGCACACGCGAAAAATTCCTCTAATTACAAAAAACAAGCCAAGCTCGGAATTAATTATCAAGTGAAAGTTGAACCTGCATAAGTAAAGTGTGCGAAAAATGTGATTATAAATAGGCATAGACTGCATTAAAACGCGCGACATGCATCTAATTTCACTTTGTCAATGGTAAAGTGAGATTCAATTAAAAACTTGAGTAACTTTAGATGAGTGGCACAGGATAAAGTAACCTTAAAACATTTGCCCGAATTTCGGTGTATGTAAAAATCCCCTGTTTAGAAAACATAGCTGTAAACGTTCAACCTTGAGACTTTTCAGCAGCGGTTTGGAATTAAACTGACTGTTTAAACAATGAAAAAAGAATATAATGGAATGCAAGTTACCGTTAAACTCGATATGTGCGACGGATAAAACATAAAACCAGAACCAATTATGAATCACTTTAGATCCGTGTCGATGGAGTGACGCGTGAGCGAGCGGATTGTGAATTTCGGGTTCTTTTTCGCCGACCTACATACATCGAGACGGGCAACGTTGTTCGAAAAGAGAAAGCAGCTTTTAAATGGGAATATACATTGCTGCGACTACTGCGACATGGAGAGGACGCTATTGGGCCATAGTCTGGAGAAAGAAGGATCATTTCTTTCTGGAATACGGCAGAAACAAAATACCCGACGTAGTGGAAAGTACATACGTATCTATGCACAAACGTACAATGGAATTTGAGGACATAAATTAACCAGAGAGCAGAAATCGACTCTGTAGAAACCTCAAAGTCAACAAACACACTTTCTGTTCTGTTGTTCGATTCTCCGGTTCAAATTCCAAATTAAGTGATAGATAACAAGTCGTATTGGACAAAAAGATTGCCTGCTGCTGCTCCCACTGCTCTCCGTGTTATGTGATGAATGAGAATTGAGCAATGAGCGACGACAATAAGTAATGGCGACAAGAAACCTTCACGGTCTTGCGAAATCTTGTTTTCTCATCCCATTATTGTTCGTTCATCCACCATCTACGTACGTACCTAGTTAGTTGTGGGTCAGTGTGATACTAGAGAAGCAAGCAAGCAAGCATGTCATCACCTTTCTAATACAGAAGGGAAATTCCTTTATGTGGACAAGTTCACTTATGTACTCGGAGAGATTATTGGTTTCACACTTTCACGCCAAAAGTCCATCTTACAATCAATTCTGTTTTTGTCTTCTTTTCTAAACCTCCTAAATTTGCTTTTACTTAACCCCAGACCACACCAGAGGAAACTTTATAACCTAAAAATTTTCTTTGACTTTGCGCAATCTGAGAAGCCAACTTGTTCAAGAGATAACAGACTAGTAGATCTGAGTAGCTGTGCTGTCTTTGTTTATTTTGTTGGATTATCTCGGGTGACAGGTCCTGAAACTTTCTTCCCCACCTGGAAACAAATATTATTACAACACACAATGCGCCTTGTTGACTCTACAAAAGCCCAACCACACTCCAAGTAAGCCTTAACCATGGTAAACCTGACTTTCTCCCCTTTTATACGACCACTGTTTCTACACCATGGATTCCTGTGCACTGCATGACAAAATCCATCTCATCTTATTCTCATCCTCCACTATCTATTCATATTTTGTCGTCAAAATCAAGCACTTTTTTGCACGTGCAATCTACCCCATTCTATTGTATTCTCATTCAAGGTCTGCATATGTATGTACCACACCCGCACGTACTCGCACGTACATTTGTACATATCTATGTGCAATATGTAGGAGGAGGAGGAGGATAAAAATATATTCTGAAGGTTATGCAAAGGAAGAACGTTTTTCATTCCGCTTGTTGCATCATCTCTCTCGGTGTGGAGGGTCTGCTGAGGCCGAGACGCAGGGTGGGCCTAAAGTGACGCGTCCTAAAGTGACTCATATTGGAACCAAGGGTCCAGGCTAAGGCTACCCACCACGGAGTAAACAGAGAGGTTCTAATAATGGTGGGGGAGGAGGGGCGATCGATAGAGTCCACTCTTGTGAGACGGAAGGCTGGTGAGAGAGAGAGAGCGTATTGCGTGGGTGGACTGGACGGGATTGGACTCCGTTGGCAACCACCCCGAACTCTAACACCTCCGATACATCTCTCTCTCTCACTCTCACTTGCTCCCCGACTCGCACCGCACTCACTGCACCACATCGTCTGCACTCCACTGCACAAGGCACAGGCCACTGAGATAGGAGACCTTTAGCAACATTCTGACACGAGAACCAAGCCAAAAACGGGCCCAGAGAGAGAGGCAGGAAGCGAGGAAAGGCAAGGTGAGATTTTAAATTTCTTCACGCACCAGGCAGACGCTGCTCCTCTCGGGTGGGAGAAAGTTGAGACATTTTGAGCAAGATTGTGAGAAAGCAGGCAGGCAGGCAGGCAGGCAGAGAGAGAGAGTGGAGCACAAGGGAGAGAGAGATCGTCATTAGCTGTGCACCAAATCTTGTCTTGCTTCTTGTCACAGTAGATTATGGGGTCGTCGTGGTAAGAGGGAAGCAGGCGATTGGGATTAGCCACCAACCACCACTTAGGATTAGCACTCAACTCTACCAACAATCTCGGCATATCTTTGGGGTAGGAGAGACACGATAACACAACACCTCCAACACTTGCGAGTATATAAGGCACACCCGCTCCTCAACTCGGCTCAGTATCTCAACAACAACACCATTGATCACCTCCTCCAAAGTAACTTGTGACTTTTTTTGAAAATTGTCAAGTCCCCTGCAAACAAGATCAGTGCTCATTTCACACCCTCTCGAAACACACAAGTTTCATCAATCGGACACCTGCCCTGGGCATGGGCTGCAAAAGTTTTTCCTGAGAATTATTGGGTTCGAGACAACTGGAATCTGGACAACTTGAGATTTTTGGTAGGCAATATTTCGTATACCACGTAAATCACAGAGCAGGAGAGAGAGAGCAACCTTTCACTTTTTTTGTGCCAAACATCACTTCAAAGTAAAAAATATTTTTTCCAGGTCAGCACAACCAGGTCATCCGACAGCCTGCTACCAATTTATCTACAACGTTTCATCTACAATCCTTTATTTCCCAGCCCCGTTTCATCAAACCCCTATTGAATATCAAGCTGCTGATTATTAACCGATTTTGCCCCGCACTATTAATTCTATTAAAACCGACCTCTCAACAAGTTGGAACATTGAATGGATTCTTGCCAAGGGGAAAGTTTTGACCTGATGCCAAAAAGAGCCGAAGGCAATTAAGGTAAGAGTTTCATATTTTATCGCATGAAATTGCCAAGTGTCGATAGTTTTGCATTCCAAGACCATAAATTTCACGTCTCATTTGCTTTTCTGTATCATTCGCATTTCGCTACAATTCAAGCTTGTCTAATAATTAGCTGCATAAGAATCACTGAAATTAAGAATTTTTCCAATTCACAAAACAATACTTGAATTCAGAAGAAATTTACAGGGAAATGCCTGGTTTGTGGGTAATTCTAGACTCGTACATCTAATGGATACCTACTTATTCTTGCTTATGCCACACTTATGCCTTGCTTTTTACGTGAATTTGTCCCTATTCCGTAACGATTGTTGGACTAGATACATGTGTGCCTGCATAACTCTCATCAGTAAAAGGTGAACCTGGCATTACATAGCTAACTAACACTCCTTGTCCCATGTGTCCGAAGGAACATGAAGAATGATGAAAAGTGGGGCGAATGACACATAGTCTGGTTGAAATAGAAATCTATCTCAGTCCACGTTTTTACAATGTGAGTCAGTGAAAGCGAAATTAATCATGGATAGAGCACTATACAAACCGTCTTTGTTTTCGCTTCAATGAAATGGAAATGAGCCAGGCTTGTAATATTTTGTATTCTTTCGCTCTATTGATGTGGCCATGCCTTTCGCTGGTTGGTTATGATACGTTCTACAGAATTCTGGGAGTCATTAACTGCAAGGCATCAACTGAAAAATGAGCAGAGTTCGAAAGAAGTTTAATTTCCGGACTATTGCATACATAATACGACTAATGCTAACACTGAATGAGTTCCCAGTAACACAAATCTCATGAAACAGACCAAAAGTATCTACGCACCAAAAATTGCATGCATATTGTTAAATTCCTCACTGACCCCACGTTCATCCATCTCGAGTCTCTTCTTTCTCCGTGAAAACAAACTTGAGTAATTTGACGTGTTGTAGGCGTGGGGCTGTGAATCATCGCACTGGGACGCGGTATGTGAGTCATTTATTATTACGTAACGAGATATGACACCTAATTACTGTCTGGTCTGGTGTCATGTCATACCATTCCCAACAAGAAACAAATCCCTTTAATACAATACTTCATGAAACAATCCGCTTTAAACGTTACGTGTGTAACAAATCCAATTCTCAAGCGTCTTATGACCCCAAAGCCCTGTGTGGCGAAAGGGTGGCTTAAAAGCATATGTTTAGCATAGCACACAAATCCATATTAACATCAACTTGACAACAAGTCAGTCAATATTTGCCACACACAAGCCATGATTCAACCTTCCTCCAAATTTCAAGAGCAACATGTATTGGTTTGGTTAAATTGTAGAATTCCAATCGCAAATGTGCACACACGGCGGAACAAAACTTGGACTGCGTGTGGGAAGAGAGACACAAAGTCAAAATCCAAGTAGAACCCACATGGAATTAAATAGCTGTGGTGGTTTGAAAACATACTTCCTGGTGGAATATGGTTGAGTGATGGCAAGCACAAATATTGATGACAGTTAATTCAATCTTGGTTCATACACCAGCATAGAATCACTCGTAAGTTGATTAAGTTTCACATCATCAGTCCCAGGTGGGCGACAGGGGCAATCTAAGTCGGGAGAGAATCCAATTTCTTTTGCGACTCACTAACAAAATTAAATGATGATAAATTGTGTGTATAATAATAAAGATTCGTGGAAAGCTAGAGAGGAAAATTTCATCTCCATCATTTCACTTTCCCAATAATAATTGAATAACAATAATATCAACCTAAAATGAAATGGAGTTCTAAGCGACAAACTTTGGACAGTCTGTCGTAATTGAGTACCGACGGAAAAGTAGTTCAACTACGGAAATGGCTGCTAAACTAACTTCGTTGCAATCGAAGCTTATTTTAAATGATTACGCGAAATGTAATAAATTAGCATAGAATTCGCATACCTACTGGAATTTTTTAAGCTATTCAATACTGAGAGAGAATTTTCCAGAGTTACACATTTGGATTATTAGATGGCTTTGATTTGAATATATTGTCATTCGATGCTTTGTGTATCAAATTGAATTTCTCTTCTTGGTATTTGAAAGCTGTATGAAAACAATTGATATGTCGAGATAAAATGTACAACAAAATTGCACTGTCACGTCGCGAAATACATGTTCCTAACTGTTACAAAGTTTAAAACTGGAGTGAGGCAAAACGATTACTCAACAAGTTAGTTGTACATGGCTGGAAACTGTAACGTAGGGAAAAAGGAAGCAATTTCGAAACTATATCAAGGAGAGAGAGTGGAAACTTTAATTTCAAAACTTTTGGGTGAGCAATTCTCCAAGAGTCAAAATTGTCAGCTGCATACGTACACATACAATTTCTGTGTTATAATAAAGGCGGAAGGAATTTTGAGAAGCAATTTATTGTCACATTTGTTCGCCTCAGAGTTTTCATTAATTTAATAAGTGTAAAATGAAATGAAACTGGTTCGACGAATCAACAATTTTCCCATTTCCTGGAATTTTACACTCGGGACTGATTATGTAGGTGTATAAATTTAGTGAATATAATGCAACGTCGCAAGCACACATCATATCTTATACGGCTTTTGCACCGCCAGTGTCTCAAAATAAATGTACACGAACAGAACATCAATCACGCCAACGTTTTCGTCGTGAACATCTTTCTCTATTGATTCTGATATGAATGCAAAATTAAGTTCCACTTTGATATAGTTCAGATTGCGAGAATTGTGTAATGTGACTACTGAAGCCTTAGCTTCATGCTTGGTGTGAGCGGGTGTAAGGTTAATTTGTGCTTTTCATCAGTGTTATTTGACTAATTTAATCCAAACTAATTACCATTTGACTAATTTAGACGTGGAATGTAATTAAACCTGCTTATTCATACGTTTTATTCATTATTTTCTAATTGTTTTTCTTCGAATTCTTCCATTGCCCCATTTGCACCTATAATTGAGCATTTGTCTGATAATTCACAGTAAATCCTAAGCCGAGCTTACATAAGCATTGATATTCTTTAACCTGAGTGTAACGTAATCTCAAAATTGCTACATGGAGTCATTTATCAACATAATTTTACCTTCTGAAACTTTGAAGTATTAAAAAAGCCAGTTTTACTTGATTATTCGCCATACTTGAGATAGTCTCAACTTGCCTCACTCACATTACGACCCAACTCCAATAGTCTGCTGCATTGCATATCCATCAATCGCCACGACGAGTAACAGACTTTCACTTATCCAATCATGAAGCTCAGAAATGTGGGCAGATAATCTATATCCTTTCTCGAGGTAATCCTTTATCATTATCTCCCCCATTATGCCCACACAAAGCAACTTTCACCATTAATGCTGAACTTAACACAAGGGAAAAAATCTCAGACTACAAAGCTACATAATTACGCGAATTGTTAGGATTCGTTGCTTAATCAGGAACATTATTATTACTTCTTTGTTAGTCGAGGAGAGCAAAATTAGGACAAGTCATGTCAACATGCTCATTTAAAATCCGCACTTAACAAGCTAGGGGGTGGACATTCATGGTGCATGTTAAAGTAGGAGGAGTGAAACCTTGGTTGTTTGGGCAGTGGAAGTAAATGAGCTCTCACTAATTCACTCACGAGTTAATTCATTTAATTTCCCGAAAAGCTGCCGTTTGCTTGGACTGCAGGCCCTGCTTGCGCTCGCATTTCACTGTTTACTCAGGATGCCTCATTCGCCTGCAATTTTGGAAAATCAGCAAACAAACAACTCTGTAAAATGTGTAACCTTCCCCCCTCGCATCTATTTTCGCCTTACATTTCCCAAGGCTCGTCATTATGCAAATGTTGGCATGTTACACTCTTCTTACGCTGGCACAATTAATACCAACGGAAGGAGTCGTGAGTACATACGTGAGTATTATTTTAACAAGTGGTGACTGAGTTGTATTTGAACAGTGAGATTTATAAATAAAACGCGACCATGATGTCATCAGGGAGCGAGCCTGCACTATTATTGATAAGGAAATATCCGTGAGCGAGGACTCGCTCTGAGAGTGGGATGAAAGTTCGTAGGGAGAAAGAAATAGCACTGTTGCCCTGTCTGTCTGCAGGCAATTTGGAGAAGTGGAGTAATTTTATCTCCGTTATATTGATCCATTAATGTTGTTTGTGATCACTCGTGATTTGGTGCTAAATATATTGCACCTCCATCCGTGAATGATTTACTCTTATCAATTATCAATATGTGGTGCGGTCCGTCGTAATAGTTGCAAAGTAATCATTCATCCTGTTCCCTGCCACCCCCTCTTCACTTTCGCCCACTACTACTCGGCGGCGACTGATGGATATTTTTATTGTCTGGGTGCAATGTTTTGTTTTTGCAAAATACACCCCCACCAAATTAATTGGATAATTATCCGCATAGAAAATGGGGGCGGGCGTATGTAGGCCAAACAATAAGATGTGGAACCCGTTGCAGGCTCTAATAGAGCTTGGTTGGTATTATTTCGAGCATTTTCTCCGAAAACCTCAATCAGAGGAGAGGCTAACTCCATGGAAGCAGAAGTAATGCAAAACGAGGAGATCGTGCTAAGGATTGCACCACTATTAAACTTAAATGGACTTGGTGTCCTATAGCTTGGTATCGATTCCCACACAGACACACGTGCAGAGTTTGGACCATTTTGGTTCCAGGGTTTGTACTACTTGATAGATTTTTGACACAAAGAGATGAAAAGTCTCTCTTCTGTCCTCCTAGTTTTGCTGGTATGTGGTAAAAGTAAAAGTTGAGGGAGTAAGCAAGATGTAATACCAGTGTTTATAAGCGTACAGTGTTATTATGTGCTTTGTGGGCAGATATTATTCTACCCAGCACCAACCCACCCACACTAATAATCAGTTATACTTGTTATGAGGCTTCCAACTTATTACAGCGTTTCCATTGTACTTTCTCCGGAGCGAGAGAAAGAGAGAGAGAGAAAGTTCACATGATGATTTCGACGAGGAGAGAGATGTCTATAGACATCAAGTGAAAGCAAATACTACGCGAATTATTACTAGTTTATGTATTATTGCTATTCATTCCAATTCCGCTGACTCACACAAAGGTAGGATTTTTCCCCAATTTCCCAAACACCTGAGCCCACATGTTGCTCAGAATGCAAAACGTCGTCCTCCGTAAACATTCCCTTCAATTGAGAGAGAACATACAAATTACTAGTGGAAGTTGAGAATTCTAGAAAAACATAAAACGTAATTTCACATGAAATGGAAAATATATTTTCACCGTGATTTAGTTCGGAAATGACAATCTCGAGCATCTTTGCATAATTTGCAATACTTACTCATTGTGGAAGAGAGAGACGTAGAGAAAATAAGACAAAAATGTGTCCGCTTTTTATTTATTGTTTCATTTCAGTTGTCTGGCTGATGCTACTGCTTGCTTACTCGGAATGATTTATTTCTCTATTACATATGAAAACCGAATCAAGTTTGCGAATCTTGTAAAACGATCTGCACCATATACATGCTCCCCACGAGGGGAAACGAGAGATACGCCGCATACTTATTACATATACTGCATACAGAAAATATTTATATGATAATGTCAGAGTGCAAATATATGTGGAATATGTATCACCATGTTGGTTTTCTTACTTTGCAGATATTTGGAAACCCAAGCAATCTTCAATCGCCAACGAAGCAACCAAAACCAATTTTTTCCAGCCACATCACACTTCTCCCCAAATCGACGCTTTTCCCCTTCCATATCCTGAACGGACGGATGACGTTGGAACCTTGATGAGTTTTGTTGGAGGCAACTAATTCATATCTTACACCAACAACCAGGCATATCTAATTCACCATTATCAACCCAACCAAGTACACATAATCTAACATACATATACCAACCAACTTAACCCTTCTCATCAAAAGAGTAGAATTCCACCGTCGTCTTCCAAACCAAAGAAATCACATGTCTGCGTAAGGTATATAAAAAATGTACTCATCTTCGACAATAAATGTTAATTCATGGGCACATTTTCGAAATTATTCGCGAGTCACAAAATTGGAATCCAGACAATAATATGAACGCCAAAAGTTTTGCGATTTTACAGTTGAAAAATTAAATTATCATTATTGAGGACAATATGAAATTTGCGAAAGGTCGTACTTAAAAAAATTAAACACAATTCAGGATCAATTTGGACAATACAAAAAAATCGAATATATCTACAAACAAATTATAATCTTTATAAACAATAGCTTCAAGTAATTCCCGAACCAGAATCTGATTAAGATTAACGAATCTCTTAGTGACATAAAAAAAGTGAATTAAGATGGCAACGAGAATATCCAGTCCAAACTGGCTTCTAGCACTGAGCCTTTATCTAGTAGCCCTATTTTTGAACCGTGTCATACTCCTGGGTGGAGCTGGCCGTGTCACATCCAACTCTGTCCTGTCGCCCTATTCTCCGTCAAACGGCCCTCAGGATGCTCTCCTCCAAAGAAGACTTCTGATGGGGCGTGAAGTAATACCTCCCATGAGTCCCAACAACAACGCCATCCCAGGTGAGCCTTCCTGCGATGAACTCCGTGCAATGTGGCGTTACTACAAGCGACAATCTCGAGCCGAGTACACCAATGAAATTCCACGATTTGGGTCAAATATGTTTTGGGACATTCTGCCACCTCCCCAGTCACCCCGCATTTCCAGCTTTGTCCCCATCAAAGGTCGAAACAAGGCTCGTCTAAAGCTGAAGAATGCCGCAAAGTCCCCTGCATACGGAAGAATGGTGTACAAGCAAGAGCGAGAACGTCAAAGAAATAAGCAGCAACAACCACCCAGCCCCATGGAACAAGTTTCTCAGCTGATGGGTAAAGGAACAGAGGGGAAAGAGCGTGGTGGGCCCATCCCAGACGCCATAATCCACCTCAGCCCTCCAATTACCCCAGTCCCCACGACCCCCACCAGTTTCCAGCAAATCAAGGAGGTTTTCCGTGAAGAGAGAATACGGGACAAGGCAGCTCCTGTTCAGGAATCCGCCGCCCCACAGCCGCCACAGCAGAACATGGAGAATGGCAAGACTTTTGGACGCATAATCCTCGGACCTCCACGCGGCATGGATGGACGAGTGGCAAACAAGCCGAGAGAATTCATGACTCCATTTGAGAAAATTCGATTTGGTCATGCAGATGACTTGTTGGAAGACGGATCAAAGCCCAACATGAACTTGATGGCGAAAAGGAGAACTCTTCCGCTTCACCACTCCTCCATGTACAACCGACAGGCAAGATTTGGGTCAGTCATGGTGGAGGACGAAGGAGACTCCTCTGGCGCTTGGATTGACGGTGGACTCGAGCAAATGAATAGGTTTGAGGTGGGAGGAGGAGGAGGCGGCGGCGGCGGCGGTGGGAGCGTGACCGATGCGAACTTTGGAATGGATGGCGGCAGCTGGGGATCATTTCCCCTGAGGTCTGATGAGGGCTTGCTGAATGACTATTCTGGAGGAATGCTTGTGGAAATGCAGCAGCATCCGCAACAATTCCAAAACCTCAAGACTCTATACTCTCGGCCCATTCCCGAATTGCCTCCACAGGTACGTTTTCATTTTTTCATTCTTCTCAAACAAATTCCAGCATAAAACGGTGTACTAAATGCATTACATCACCGTTGAGAGTACATATGCATAAACATACACGTAAGTAAAATGTGTACACTGAGCGAGAATTGCAGCCATATCTGCCAAAATAGTATGACTTTCCCCACAATGTTTGTCTGCACATACCACTTCTTGCACACTGTGAAACCATTTCATCTCACTCACTCATACATATGCTCTTGAGACGCTTGACCTTTCATGGGATGGGAGATTTTAAGATTTCCAGTGATTCATAACCTTGTTTACAAATGTTGTGGGTTGAGGATTGTAAGGAAAGTTATGCCTCCTTTACGTCACTATGTAATCGCATTTTAGCATTTGTTGGGCTTTCGGAAGCTCGTCACAAGAGCTTGACTTTGCTTTGGTATACAATGGGTTTAGCGAAGATGGACATTACTTATCATGGAGAGTAGTCGTCGTTTTCTTCTTCCGAGGAACAGCTCCTCTGACTTTGCTCTGAACAAATGTTGGTCACACAATGAACCGTGATGGTTGCGATGGGGTGACAAATGTGCAAAGACAAATGTGCAAACGACAAATGTGCAAATACATTTGTGCAAACGATAAATGTGCAACCGATAGATGTGCAGGAATTTTTCCAACAAATAGTGCAATATATCTTGATATAATTTACACTTCAAATCAAATTACATCTTATCAAAAAACTAAGAATTCTGAAACATTAATTTTGTGGTGAAGCTTATGAAGCTGGAGATCTTATAATGCAGATTTTATACTTATTAAATATTACTAATCATCATTATAACGGGGTTGACCCCTGTCAATTTTATAATAAAATTCCCGTGCCGAATCACTGTAATGCTAAATTTAGCTAGTGACAATTAAACTTTAGTTAGGGACACCCCGCGGGGACAGAATTTAAAATAACAGCAAATAAGTAAATCCCGAATTATTTCATTGAAATTTAGAATTTTTATATGTACATAATTCCAGCCTATACGATAGACTAAAATTCACGAATTCACGAAGATGTATGTACCAGGAAATTTATGCACCATAAAAATATAATTTAGTAAAATATTAAGTTAACAATAAATTAATACTGCTCAATATAAGATCTACAGCTTCAACAGACATCATACGGGATGCCACCACAAAATTAATGTTTCAAATTTTAGTTTTTGAGGAGATGTAATTTGATTTTATGTTTAAATTATATCAAGATATATTGCACCATTTGTTGGAAAAATTCCTGCATATTTATCGGTTGCACATTTATCGTTTGCACATTTATCGGGCTGCACATTTGTCAGGTTGCACATTTATCGTTTGCACATTTGTCGTTTGCACATTTGTCTTTGCACATTGGTCGGGCCACCATGAACCGTTAACCAAGTGAGAGTGGAAACAGTGGTGGAAACGCTGTGGTCGGCCCACTAAAAATAGACGAGTAAAAGTAGAATGGACCACTTATTGTAAGAGAAGCAATTTAACATTTACGTGACAGTGACAAAACCTCAAAAGTGGTTCTTTGTTGAGGGAAGAAATGTGCGGAGACTGATTGGCAAAGTGGCAGGAGAAATGGGATGGGACCTTCTGCCGGACTTTTAGGAAGTAAAGGTCGACTCTTGTCCCAGTCGTCGTAGCTGCTGGAAACTGTCAACCCCACCTAATTCAATGTAATGGATTATTGATGATACAATCGGGTTGGTGTGAGAAACTGGCTGGACACATGGTCCCTTTCTTCATTGTTCCCACTTTCACTGCACCGCTTTTACAAAAAAAAGTTGTCGCTTTTTCTTACAGATAATTACTTTTGTGCACGACAAATTGTGTCCGCCCACAAAAACCATTGTACTTAAAATCACTGGGTTTCACATTCCCCCTGAAACCAATCACATGGAAATAAATAAATATTATGGGTTCATTGTTTTTGTGGTATTGATTTAGATTTACTGAAATTAGGACATTGGTCAACCTTGCGTACGATAGAAAGGATACAGGAGATACATAACTACAAACAAAATCACTTTATCGAAATTGCTAGCTCTTTTTGGTTTTAGGTCAACGAGTTGAGTGGTTGGTGGCTCCCTAATCTGAGCTCACTTGTTGCTGATAAGTAGCACAGTTGGAGGCGTACGGCATAAAAATTAAGATAAAAGGAAAGCCCTCCACTTTATGTCGGGGATCGCATGGTGTGCAAAGTAATAATACAGTTCAAGGGAGATTGGCTTCTGGTGAGGGCAGAAAATCTCTCCACGACTTGATATCAATTACATATCATTTACTGCATACCCATTTTGGGTTGGTGTTTGGAATTTCATTTCGCTCTTACTTTTTCTCTCCGCAAACGGGTAAATTGCCAAAACGATAATGTTTATTTTGGAATTTGATGATCAAATCTCCAAATAGTGTGAAGAAAAGATGCACGAAAATGTCTTAGTTTTTCTATTTTATGCTCTCATACGCAGCGAGTCAGTACATGAACGGGTGTTACGGAGTTAATCTAATTCGCCTATGTGTGCATATAAGCCGTACCGAGAAATATGTACGACATGACACCTTCTTCACTCGTGGCGACGTGAAAGTTTTTTTATGAATCCACATTCTACGTATTTACGACTCGTACGACGATCAGGAAAATTTCATATGCCGAGATAAGCGAGGAGCAAGTTAGGATAGTGCTCGGATAGAATAAATAACGATGTTTTTTGTGCCTAAAAATCGTAAACTATAGCGATTTGGGAGTTTTTGTGAGAAAGTGAATTGGAGGAGGCGAACGAGTTAATCTCCTTTCTCTCTCGAGAGAATAATGTGGCAACGGCAAATAGTGGCAGCATCCGAGAGAGAGAGAGAAAAGAGGAAGGAAGACGAAGAAAGAGGGGAAAACTCGCTGCTGCTGTCAGATTGACCAAGTGACTTGGTTTTTGTTTGAATGGCGCTGTATGTAGCTCCAAAATAATTTATGACTGCGTAGGTGGACGGAAATTGAGTTAATCTACTGAATAAATTCATATAAAACACCTGAAGCTCGCTCGCTACTACAAGTCGCTAGCATAATCCGGTCCTGGTTCCATTTCCGCTTTCAGTCACTACAGCTATCTGATCCAATCTATTACTACATTACTCTATAGCTCAGTCAGCAAGGGTGCATCCACCCACCTCAGATCAATCCATTTTCCGAGAATAATGAGAATTTCCCATTATTCCGTCTGTGCCCCCTTTATCCGTCCGTACGACACACGCGGAGGGGATGAGGTCTCTAACCATCGCGTCGCTACGACTGGAACTTATTTCACATATGTACCTCCTTTTCCATAATACGTTCCATTGTCACTGGTTAATTTTTGTGACCGCAAACTCCCAAACTAAACATGAACGTCGGCTTTCCGTCTTTCGTTCAAGTTGAGTACATAAAAGTAAAGTCAATCCTTACGTAATATTTAACCAGACTCGATCCTTAGCCAACCAACTTTGCAGCTAGATATGGAGTTGATGGATGAAAAAATCCTTTCTCTCCGTGAAAAGATGTATTGACCGATGGGCAAGGAAAGCAAGTCTAGAAACCTTCTTACTTTTATCATCTCGTCTGTTCCCCACGGTTCCGAGAAGAAATAAATCTAGTCTGGACAATGCAAAGTCTTTTCAATCCCTTGACATATATTAGAACAGTTTACTTATTGGGAAGATTCTTTTATTATCATCTCGGAAATTTTGCTTTTGAATATGATCCACCCACGTTTCCCGTCTCACAAATCAGCGTGTCCCGATATGTTAATATCCGAACTTTCATAGCTTCATGTTTTATGAATGTCTACGAAATATTGTGCATAAAGTAAGTCAAACAGCTCTTTTAACTGTCTTGCCGCCGTTACGTATGTAGGCCAAAACCTGAAAGAAATCTGAATCACCCATTGTCAACTTTCTCCCAAGAAGAAAGTGGACTAATGTTGTTATTGAAACCGTAGTAAAGATGTCTAAAAAGTTGGTTGCTTTTTGTCTGCATCACCTAAAAAATAAAAGTGGAATGTTTCGACTGATTGCAGCCAGCCTGGCGAATTACGTTGGTCTATGCATCCACGCATTAGGCAAAGCAGGACGTCAGTAGCAAATCATTTCCGCTCCTACATAAATCTATTCTAATTTTATTCCTGCTCCACGTGGATGAAGGTGGAGCCATGTTATTCGCCCTATGAATTTATCTTGGCGTTTTAGACATTACTTATATCGCGTTCAAAAACGAAGATGTGTAATCCATAGTAAAAATGATATGTGGGTAGCTTCACTTTCACCAGCAGAATTCAGGTAGCGAGATGAATTACGAAACTCTAAGCCATCCCGAGACATTTGTAAAATGCTGTGGAATAATATCCCCGCATGGCTTGGAAGAGAAAGCGATTTGTCAAGCGGTGGGTGCTTATAAAGAACAAGTGCCTAAACCAGTGCCATTCAATTCAGTGTGTATTTCTCCATGTGAAATGTACGTAATGCGAACTATAGCTGTGTATACATACGTGGTGATCTTGGTCATAGATTTCGACTCAATCAAGGAACAGACCACAGTATAGTCGTCATTTATATATTTTTACTCCATCGCCTAGTCATCGTCATGGTCAAGTAAAGTTTTCGAGGGATGCTGGGTCTATAAGCATCTCATGTCTCGTGTGTTTGTGTGTGTGGCATTTGTTGCGCTCCCAATTTGTTATATATTTCGGGAAGTGAAAGGATTGTTGACTTTTGGAAAAGCTCGGATGTGGTGAAAGTCACTGGCTAGTCGATCCCACAATCCAACAGTACTTGGAAAAGATCCACTCTTTCCCATTCTTCAGACGTCAGTTGTAAATGGCACACACTTGACTGATTTTGCCTTTTTTGGTTGATTTTAGTCTATTCTTGAATTCTCCTGTTGACATTATTGCCAGAGCGTTATTTGGATTGTACATCCATGCAGGATTCATCAAGCCACAAGTAAAAATAGATCACAAGCCGGCGAGCCTGAGATTACCACAATAATTTCTACAACAACTAATAATAATAATAATGATAATACACACTGTTTTTGACAATTGTTACGTTCATTGCGTTGCATGATGGCAGGTGTGATGGTTGAACTTGATGGTTGCGTGGGTTTGAGATCGGCTCCTATAATTTCACATCATGAGACAAGAGACGGGGATGATGACATCGTAAAACAGAATGGGTTTCGCTCTGGCAGTTGGTAAATATTTCCTATAGAACGAGCCTGCTTTCACCATTCATTCACAAAATGCGACTTGGTTTGGCGACGACCGACATGTCCAATAACTCTGTTCAATCTTTGTCAAACCGGCGGCGGTTGCTAGCTGGAAAGGATGGAATTTGGTGCTTTCACCGCACAATGGATATTTGTCATTATGACTCTGTTGTTTATCAAGAGCTCTGATTGTGGGGGAAGCCTTTGTGTTATTGAATGTAGCATATGTTCCATTCGGTGATAATCTATATCCATATCTATCCATCTACTCGATCCCACTCTGTCTCCGGGTGGGTGGATGCTGCTCTAAAATGCACAAAATCATATCACAATTCTGGACATATGTATGTATGAAATTTACTTTTGCGACTTGTAATTCCTCACACTATTTTTTATAGATGGAAAGTCCCACCTGCCCAGAAGTGGAGGGTCAAGCGTGTCAAGTAAACTCGGACTGTTCCTGCGTTGGCTTTGGACTTTATCGATGTTACGTCAACGTGTGTCAAACGCTATCGTTTGCTCCTGCAGGTAAATTTAAATTCTAACAAGAAGAGAGACTAAATGCTTCCACAACATCGCTCTTGATCCTCTCTCCTCCATTTGCTTGCTTACATTCAAGAATATCGAATCTCCTCGCCCAATACAAACAAGTAAATTTTCATTCATGGTTTCACAGACGGGGAATATTTACCCGAATAGATATCAAAATATAAGAAACGTAAAATCCTTTGATCCACCTACTTATTTATTCAAGGAGTTTTGCGAGTCTCAAGATTGTGGTTTAGTTTCGGAATACGTATCGCATCCTGCATCTGGAAAAGGCATCAAAGAAATCCGTTGGACTGCGTATGTATGTACGTATGTGCTCCGATTTCAGCTTGACACAGCATCCGTGCAATATTTCTTGATCGAAATGGGACTTTCCTATTTGTATACATATTATCTCTAAATAGTTGAAAATCAAGGAAAAGACACAGTTTCGAGGTAGACAACTGTCACTTACAGACAGTCGAGATGGATGGTCTACACCTGACTTATTAGGCTGTACAAAAGGAATATAAATACATTGGTATACGACGTATATTTAGTTATGTTTACACACAATTAAACTTTGCTCTTTCCTTGTTTCGTTTAATTTCTCCAAACTACATTCAAGATATCAAGAAAACAAAAGGCGTTTGGAAATTCGAATACAAAAGATTAATTGAAAGATACCATTGTTGGATTTTGACAAAAACAAAAAGGAGTGCGCCAAGTGAAAGCGCGCTTTCTGCTCAAGTTTTATTGTGCCAACACCCACCCACCCATTCATTCAATAGTACATATTTGTTATTAGTAGGCAGCTACTTTGGAGAATTACCTCATTATGTACTTGCACAATACAAACATACATCCATAGGAACGCTGCATTATAATTATTCCCTCCGAGCTAGTTAGATGGATGGATGGTTGTTTGGGTGGTTGGCAGACTGGTGATCAGACTGAAATGATGATATGGACGTCTTAAAATCCTTTCATCCTTTGCAAACACACCACAGTGATTCCAAGCACCAAATGAGATGTGGTAGTCCGCACAAAGTATTTGAACAAATTTGGCTTCAATCAGATCAAGCTCTCTCTTCTTCTAAGCAAATACGAGTTCTAATATTTTTTGGGTGACTTTGTGCCCTTGTTTGTTGTGCATGAAATAAATATATAGTATATTTCCGAGTATGAAGCTTTCATCTTTGCCTTGTTTATATTTATTTACGCTCAAGTGAGATCTATACAACTGTAAATACAACTTTTGTCAACTAACCATAAGTATAAAAAGCTACGAGGATAATTCCACTAGAGGCAACTAAGGAGGGGAGCTTGCGAGGTTGATAATAACAGATCTTGATGCCCTTTGGATATGTGGTAGGGTCCCATGAGTGTACTAAAACCCTGAAGTGGTTTGACTCCATGGCCACATTTGCGCCCGCCACACCCACTCAAAAATGCTCAAAAAACGCTTTCACTCCAGTTTTCACTCACTCAAATCCACGCCAAAAATCCAATTTTACTCGGATTTTGAAATTTCTTTCACCATTATACTCCCAGATAGTTGCTTTCTTCAATCCAATGTCAAACTCAATTTTGCTGATGATTATTTCGCAGACATAATTTGCGTTGTTGATTACTACAACAATGCTCATTCAGAATTTTAAATTTTAAAAATACTAAAAATTTCGAAAAAATTGAGTTTGATACTGGATGGAAGAAAGCAACTATCTGGGAGTATAATGGCGAAAGAAATTTCAAAATCCGAGTAAAATTGGATTTTTGGCGTGGATTTGAGTGAGTGAAAACTGGAGTGAAAGCGTTTTTTGAGCATTTTTGAGTGGGTGTGGCGGGCGCAAATGTGGCCATGGAGTCAAACCACTTCAGGGTTTTAGTACACTCATGGGACCCTACCACATATCCAAAGGGCATCGAGATCTGTTATTATCAACCTCGCAAGCTCCCCTCCTAAGCCTGACAACATCAGCACTATTCTCGTATAGAAACTAACGACATTTCCTTCCAATTTCGTTTTTAATTCCACTTCCCCGTCGTCATCATCATCATCATCAATAAAACTCGGCAAACCTAGCGAATCACGCATTTGCTTGATGCCGCCTATTTATTTTTGCTCAGAAATCCCTCATTGTTTAAAGATTAATTCTTTCCCTCCATCCGTTGATATGAATGGCTCAGGTTTATCGTAAAAGTTGGAGAATTTATGGAGCACACTGATTATTTTAATATGATTAGAGCAACTGTTCATGAATAAGCAGGCGCATTTTGGATACTTTTACAAACTCGGTTGGAAAACGAGGGGATTTTTCGACTCGGCATGTTTTTGCGTGGGTGTTCTTAATTGCATTTCTTCATAAGGATCTACATGGTCTGAATGTAAGGAGGAGGAAGGGATAAGGGCAGGCAGGCAGCCAGTCTCATCCATATCACCACTTTCACCTGACCCTGACTGCTGCTCCTGCTATGTAGGCCTCCTCCAAGACTGTTCTACAAACTAAAGCCAAGCCGTACGAGTGCACTCTTCTTCAAACTTGGCCACTTGGAAATGAGTTGCCTCGCCGCATTGTAAATTGTACTTTAATTGAAACTCTGACTAGATTTAGAACGATGGAGGGTTACGTATGTATGTAGAAGCACAATCGTACGTTCCTTCGTACGGGCTGGCTAACAACAGAGCTTGAAATTAAATTTCACTCCCCCGCTCACACACACAGACATACCAAAAAGACCTCTTTCTTGAAGCGTTCCTGCTTATGTGGGCATTTCCTCAAAAAAGATCCATCCAAACATCCACCCAATATCATCTCGGCCCGAGTTGAAGGTAAACTAAAGTGGTGGGCTGGGTGCTCCTCGGGATAATTTGTTCGGTGAAAGCTAATTTATTTTTCAAGCACTTGCTCTTCCTGTGCACATTCCTTTCACCCTCAAACAAAAAAGTCACGCAGGAAGTGGATGATGAATAAAAGTTAAGCGCTGGCTGGCTCTTCCCCAGAATCTCATCCGCCAAACGGGGAAAAAATGTGCACTTAGCAAATAACAAAATCCAGACATGACAATGAGATCTGCTCACTTGTTTGCATGTCAACTGGAATTGCTACTTGCTAATTTTACTCGGTATCAGTTCAGGTTTCAATGCGCACATGTAGGAATTTTTTTCAAATGGAACTTTACTTTAGTTGATTTTGTTGCCCAACTTCAAAGAAAAAAGTCTAACTTATCAACAAAATAATTTCGTTTGTTGTTCAATTCATGTGACAAATATGTGTTATTGCGTCGAAATATTTAAAAATAAATAATCAAGCTAAGATTTTTTTACTTTCTGCATGAGCTCAGCCATTTTATCAGATTTTAATTGCGCAAGTTTGAAGATGTGCTTTCTAGGATTTATTGAAATGAAAAAATAAAAATAAAGTAAAAAACTATACACATCCTCCTCATTAAAGACTAACAATACAAGGCAAGAAGGCGTATGAAGAAATACATAAATTGCATAATTCGGCAGTTCAATTTTTTTATACTCTTCCTTCCCATTCTCCAGACTTTATATTCATATTGAATGCTCCATCCTAAAAAGTTATGTTTGTGCAGTTCTTCATATAATATTGGATCGCGGATTGCTTAAGATAAGATATATGCAAACAGTGGAACTGTGTAACTAGGAGGGGATGCGGGGCCTTGTTTATTTTGCGATTTTCGGGATTTTTTTTCAAGTCGTCCTTAATTATGCAGCTAACGAGAAACTCCAACGTGTCACGAATGATTAAACAAAGCTTAGGATTTCGACTCCCCCTCAGAAAAAGTATAACGACGAGGGTGATACCTAGAATACAATTTCCAAATAATCAAATCAAGTTAGAATATCTCGACTGGCTGAGCTTTCATTAGTCCCATTTCGTTAGTGAAAGTTGCAATCCGGAATAAAGAAATCTTTTTTAATTTGCAAAATTTATTACGAAACTTGACAGTATTATTGCGATACAATTTTTTATACAAAGATTCAGAGTTGAAACTTTGTATTTTTTCGCAATACTAACATTTGAATTTGAATGACTTTTATGCATTGCAAAAATTACGTACTAAATCTAGAAACTTCTATTTCTAAGCACATCATTAAATCTGTGCTACCAACGTCTTCCTTGTGTCAAATTACTATTATCTAAACTCAACGCCTCTCCGATAAATGCAGCGATGCGGAAAGTGAGCATAACACGCGAATTTTTTACGCCAAGTGATAAATACAATATGTAATTGGGCAAAGCCTAAAAATAGGAAAGATTTCGATATGCAAAATCTTGGCATTTTTAACACCATTAAAACGACACAAGAATAAAAGAAGACCAACTTTGAACGGGGATGGTGATCATTATCATCATTTGATTTAAAATATTCACGTACATATGTCGTTCGTTTCCTTGCTTTGAACTTTGCGAAATTGGAGTACAATGTGAAATCATTAAAACTATGAGTGGGCACATGAATACGGTTAAAAATTCCGTCTCTTCGCCCTCAAAACCATACATCAGTGAGTGAGAGTTGTCGGTATAAAGGCTCTTTCACCATCAAAGAAAGGAGTCCTCTGGATGCGTGCAGAATATCCAATGGTGGATTTTGAAAGGGAGAAGATATGTTTGGTGGGAGGTGATGGTGTTGGTGGTGATGTAGGAAACTTGACTTGAAATTCCTCACATGACGAAGCATTATTATTAGATTTCCTGCCACCACCACTCCCATGATGGCAGGAGCAAGGCATTGCATTGTTATTATACCACGAGATAAAGCTAAGTTGCACTTGACACTCTTTGTCAGGCTCGCAACCCAATTTGATTCTGTGCTATTTTCATGTTCCCTATTGTCAGATGAACATATATACACGACCCGTGTTGCTTGCTGGCTGTGTGGGAAAGGAATGTGTGAAAATGTTTGCAAGTGGTTGAGATTATTGACAAAAATCCCTGTCGTCCGCAAGGCATCGTGATCATGAGAGGAATTGAAGGGTTGGGTGGAGGAGGGAAGGGGTTTCAGCACACGAGAGGTAGAAATAAGTACGTGACGGAAGTGAAGGAATCCAGGAAGGAGAATAATGTTGGATTCAAACTTACTCCAAGAAGATGAAGTGAAAAACTGGGTGCCCAGATGCAGAATGAGAACACCTCTGCTGATGAAACCAAGGGAAAGTAAACGTGGTCTAGTGAGCCAACATTCTCCTTTCTCCGCTCTCTGGCCTGGATGGCTCTGCCCTTAAACCGCTCCTCCAGATAAGCCGCCATCCGAGTATGATGGGAGGTTTTAGCTTATGGAGCAGATCAACCGTTAACCATCCAACACTACCGTAGTTTGTGGATAGAAAGAAGAAGAAGAAGAAGGCGCGTTGTGGTGGTTCAGGCTTTACGAGTCTCCTTAGAACCAATGTTGACTTTATATGAAATGATATCTCTCCACCACCGGGTTAAATTTAGACTCGGGAAAGTTGTCTTATTACATTGCATTATGTCCAATCGTTGGTGGTGGTGGTGGGGTTGTTGGAGCTAGAATGTGTTTCCGATGACGTCATGCTGATGTAGCCCAAACTTTCTTCACACAACCAGAATCCAAGTTCTGAATGAAGGAATGAATCAATGAGTGAGTCCCTTAGAGAGAGGACACGTATCTTGACACCATAGCGGGTGCGACAAAGTTCTCAAATGCGTATAGGCTCACCCGATGTAGTCCTGGCTTCGATTAGCATGTGACATCATGTGCCCAACGTCACCCACGACTAACCTTTACTTCATTTTTCCTACACAATCAGTAGAGTTGGATTGGATTTCCAGAACACAATGATTAGTTAGGGAGATTAAGAAAGATGAGATTTTAAACGAATATTCAACCTTTTGGGGCATATCACTTTCTCCAACTGCTGAACTGAACCACAACATTGCTTACTTTGGCTCAACTTTCAGCGCTTTCTCAACTCATGAATTGACAGTCGGGTGAATGATGATGAGTTTTTGAGAGATTCCTCTCGTAGGGGTGGGTGGAGTAATGGGCAATGTGTGTGGTGACAGTGTGCAATAGGGGTGAACGCTTGGAAAAATCTTCACAGAAAGTTGTAATCTTTGCGGTAGATTTCCCCCTTTTCGCCTGCACGGCTTTCGCTCGATTTGTGGATAATGATATTGAACGCCGCTGCGAGAATCGAAACTCAAACAGAAACTGTGCTTAACTTGAATTGAGTTCACTTCACTCGTGGTTGGCTTATTTAATTTTTCACCACGAGGAACAACCAGCGTCATCCTTAATCAAAACCTAAATGTGTCAGTTGACGAACCTATTTACGTCATCTTGATATCAGTTGTATGTACTTGGTTGGATGATGCAAGTGTGAAAAAAAAATCGAGAATGTCATGACCGAACCAATGACTCGTTAATAACGGATTTTTATTCGACTTGAGATGAATAATTTTATTGCGCGTGGGTTGACCTTATTTGGATTAATAACATCACATTTTAATTATTATACCATTGTGCCACGGATCAAGATGAGTTTTATTCTCCATGATTATTATCTCCAGTCCGCCGTATATTACTGATTCAGTTCGTGTAGCTATCTAGTTCAAATTACAAAATTATTCCGTTCTCGGCCTTGGTTTGTCCTCCAAGGAGAAAGATTCACAATCAGGCTCTGCGGTAGTTGTAGACACAGGTTTATCCTGCAGGCCAGATTTATATTGCTTCCTAAGACTTTATCAATCCAGTCACATTCTTCTAGAGAGATCTCCTTATTCTTCTTCTTATTGCACAATAAGCAGAGCGACTGAAATTGCGACAGCACGAACATATTGGAGAAATTCGATCTTATTAATGCCTCACGGGCACAATGGTTGAGCTGAATCTATAGAACGGTACGTATTGTTCGAATCGAATCTTGTTTAATTCAGGCAAACAGATTTTCATTGACAGCATTTCGGAACACATTCATGCCCACCACCCACTAATCCCACCATCCATTAAACATTTTACCTACGTCGCCACACACAACCAACTTCGCAGCAATGGCCAATAAATGTGTAATTTGGACCCCAAACTGCATTAATATCCCGGATTTATCCCGGATTTTGAACGTCTTTAAAGAAATTTATGAACACGTAATATAAATTATGAAATGAAAACGAGGTAAATCTAATCGTCGTGAAAACTGCTTATTCTCACAACCCGTCCCACTAAGTTAACAATCGAAATCAGTGCGTAGTCACGTATGCTTTTTGACTTTCACTTTGTCAATGTCCCACGTTGGGAAAAATCTCTGCCAAAAATCTCCAAAAGTATCACATTCCTGTTGAATTAGGATTACCTGAACAAATATTGTAGCAAGGTTTTTGATAAAAATTAACTTACGCAAGTTTCTCTTTTTTATATATATTTTAGCCGAAAACCCTGTGGAAGAGATTGAAGATGACGCGTCCTCAATGTGGCACACGGGTCCCGTGCACAGCAGCAAATTGGGGTTATGGGATGGAACTTCTCAGAAAGCGGAAGCAAATGTTGACATGAATTCAGGATTTGATAATCTGGTAATGAAGAAGGCATCCGAGAATAATAATAACATCGTCGCGGGGAGCAGCAGCAGCATTGTCCCCTCTGCCAACAACTCGGATGACAAAAATGAAGCCAAGAAAAATTGATCCGCATTCTTCGCATTGGGTGTTTTTACACAATGAGATTGTCAACGTTGTCATCATCATCACAATAAAAAAATGCAGGCTCAAGTTGCAAATTGTTGTAAATAGGCGAGTTTGTCCACTTATTATGTTAAAACTATCCGTTTTATAGGGAATTGGAAGATCCTGCAGGTCACACTGTAAGTAGTTATCTCGGCGCCCTCAAACCATATCAGCAAATAAATAATTTGTCACCCGACTTATGTACATCTCATTCACAAAATTTTAAAAGTAACAAAAAAAATAGTTGTTAATCTCTTGTTAATTAATTGAGTATGAAAAACTGAGATATCGAAACTTATCATCATCATTATCATCATCATCACTGTTCACGTACATTACATTCTAGTACTGTTTCTTTGTAGAAGTACATACATAACATGGAAATTTGCAAAAAATAACGACTCTCCAGTTCATTTTCTTTTTAAGATGGCTTCCTTATTTAAACGTCATTACCGATATAATGGACGCTAACCCAGAACAAATATTTAGTTGCAAATTAGGACTAAGATTCAAAATTTTTTCCATCTTTTTATTAAAAATATACAGAACTGGAAAGTAACATTCGACAATACTCCATTTCCTAATCAAATTTTACGCCATTGTTTGCGCAAAAAAAATCTGGAACATTTAGATGAACGCCATCGGCAGAAATAGGGTAACAATTAGTTAAATGATCAGAGTGTACACAGAAAAGAAAAAACGTTAAATTATTATAATCTAAATTACTTGATGGTTCTTATTACGGGCAAGATTTAGTGCTATCTTGTAACATAGTAAACTAATTCCGATTGATAAGCAAAACAAAGTATTTACTACTAAACTACAGTATGTGTCTGCCTTTCTAAGACAATAAAACTTTCTCTGGAAATGAGAATTTTCGAGTAATGTACATGCTATAGAGGAGAGAAAGGACGTGGTCACGTGGTTCGTTCTGGTCACAACTTACTCAAAACTATTCAACACATAACATGTGATGATGATAGTCTTGTGCTTGTGTTTGTAACAAGTTGAAAAATAATGTACTCCTCACATTACTATTTTCAATCGTAATATAACTACTACTTAACTAGTGCTATATGTAAAATATGTTGTATTATATGCATAAAAAGTGTACATATTATAATACTAAATACTTTATCTACTTATGTAAATGCCCGTTCCATAAGCGACGAGCTGTATCTGCTTCTGTAGACAATACTTTGGAAAAAATTCCGACGTTTGAAGAAAACTCCCGGATACTTCTGACCATTGTTCATGAGCCAATATGCATGCAAGATAAGTTGTAGTTGGAAAGGTAAACAGCATTATTGTAATTTTGAATTTTATGTAGCAGTCATAAAGTAGAAATGTTATACTGTTATTAATACATGTGTAAATACATATGTGTATTTACTTAGTTGACGAGGTTGACGAAGGTGATGATGAAAATTTTTGAAATTTTTGAGCAGGAGTGATATTACTTCAATTGGGACTGTTAAAGTTGACTCCAGATTGTGATTTGATAATGTACATAAACTATCTAGATGGTTAAACATATAGCTATATAATCCTAAGTATATAATCCGGAAGTCCGGTATAGACAAGTAAAAATATGTGTGGTGACTAAAAATATCTATATATCTATTTCACTGTGAGGTGTAAAGAATAATAATTAAGTAAATGATAGATGTATTGCAGATCCAAAACTATGTAATATCATAAAATTTTAAAATTTATCGCCACCTCTGGAAAATTTCCCAACCAGTTGTCCAGTTGCATGGAATGGAAACTCCGACTAATATTTACATTCTTATATAGCATAACTTTTGACTGAGATTTAGTAACTATGATAAGTAGTTCGTTACATTATTGAGGCAATTCACGTAGTCCTTGGGAAACACGGTAAAATCCGTAAACTTACAATTGCTAACAAAAATTTACGAAAATTTCCAGAGAAAATCAGCTTGCATTGCAAACCTTTGCAAGCTTAGCCAGATGAAGGGCGTCTTTTTATTTTGTAAACCTCACGGATTTTGCAATGTTACCAAGGACTGGATGAATTTCTGAATTGCATTTTAAATTTTCACAGTATTAGAACCTTTATCAAGTGTGAAATTGATTGAAAGCTTTACATATTATGTAAAATCAAAAAAAAATATTGTTGTACATTAATGGTTAATTATAATATTTCCTTTGCGTACCTAATAAAAACAAGTAATGGTGCTTTTAGTATTGTGTATATTCGAGAATAAATGTGATGAACTATCCGATTAGAATTTTAATGTTGTTACATAATTAATTAATTAATTAATTAATTAAGTTGTTGGTGCTCCGTCAAGTGGGAGCATTGATTCAAGTTTAATGGAGTCTTACGTAGTGATATTCATGTACATGAATTGTACAAAGGAATTACCATTGGTTTTAAAATTGTCCTGCATTGGGGTTTATCAATTACTGTTATTTATGTGTTTGTTAGTTATCTTGATTGTACGTAGTTTCACCACATAAGTTTCCGGTCTGAATGAATCACAATTACTCATGGGTAAAGTATTATGTAACTAAAGCATGAATGAATTCACATATCTTGTACATCGTAATTACAAAGTATAAAGCTCCTTAATAAAGTTAAGAGATCCACTATTTGGGAGTGCTGTTTCATTTTCATATTTCATCTAAATATGCACACATGTCTGCAAAAGAACATGCCATAAACAATAAGTACCAAAGTTTCCACGGATGTGGTGAAAATCTTGAATTACCTTCAGGGTTTGGACCTCTGTAAACTTTAACAAGACAATGTCCACGTACGTAGCAGTGTTGCATTTCGAGTTAATTTTTGCATTGGACTGGACAAGTATGCATAAAAGGCCCACATGACTTGATGGGAAAATTTTTCCTTTTTAGATACAGATAGTTGAATACTTGTTTCCCGTCTTTCGTGTAGAAATTTACATGTATTTTTCTCATCAGAGTTCTGAACCAAGAAAAGTGCCTGGTCCAAGGCACCACAAAACATGACATGACAAAATTTCAGAATTTTTTTTACTTTAAAAATTAGATATCGATATCAAGAATTCGAATTTCCAAAATTTTACGTGTTCGAGAGCTATCATGTCATCAAGGACGGACAAAAATGTAATGCAAGTCAAACAAGACCAACTTTTTACTTAACCAAAATTTGAAGCGTATGCTAAAAAATTTTGAAATCCAGCACAAATTTTCATATAATTTTTTCTTTTTATTATATAATTTAACACTAAATAAACATTTTAATTATGGACAAAGACCAAACCTTCAAGAATATATAATTGATGTTTTATTTGTATTTCCTCCGCTTTCATTGGTTTTCCCTTCAATTTGCATTATTCTCTCCAATACATATATTATCGTAACAAATTACGTTATACAGCATGTCATATCACTTGAATTTCGTCTTGCTGGCATATTTATTCTTCAACCGATAACACGTAATCCTATAAAGGTGATGATCCGATCGACGGATGTCATGTATTTTATATAGTTAACCAAAAACGTTTGTCATTTAGTGCAAAATTGTAAAATAATCATTTCACTACTTATCCTCAACGAAAAATCAAAGCAAGCGTATGTATTTATAAGAATAGAATGCCAAAGGTGGTGTGGATCGTTGTCATACAAGTAAAATGTCGTCCACGTGTATAGAGGACATTATACACGTTTATAATATTATATAAGGTTACATAAATAATTAGGTAATAAAATTTGACATTTTTCAAAAATTATTAAGCAGGGTGGCAATTAAAGGTCAATAAGTGCGTACATAACTGCATTCTAGACGACCAAACCGTACATACATGTGCACGTATGCTTCATTGTATCATTTTTAATTGCTACATGCATAACTATATTATAACAATATGTAAATTTATATACTATCGTCTAATTGGGTGGCATTGTTTCATATTTTAGGTAAATTGTAGACAGTTTTAGGTACAAAATTAACTTGCACATGTGATACTTTATTTAATTCGTCGATAAATTTGCATCCATATATCGAATTATGTGTCGCGAGTAGGGTAACATGCACAGAATCTCTCTAACGGATTCAGGAGATCATGCAATTATTTTTTTTGGTTGGAGTTTGAGAATTGTTCATCGTTGTCTGAGGCGAAGAACTAGCTGGCAAGGTGGTTTTGCTGGTGGATGGATTGGTCGGGACAGAATTAGTTGATCCTGCCACTTGAGCGGATTTATAGTTGGAGGTGGAGGCCAGGACGGGGGGCAGATTGGGGGCAGTAGAGGCGTGGGCGGCTGTAGGAGGTCCAGGACCCATCTCATTTTGCCTATTTTGGGGGGACGACACTTCAGACGAAGATGCTTTGGACTGGAGGGATGTAGACTTCCGCAACTGACTGCTCTCTCGGAACAGCCGAGTGAGTTTCCATTTGGACTTGTTTCTTCGATTTACACTCTCTTGTTCTGTCTCTGCTGTTGAACAATTCAAGTTCTGGACTACAAAATCAATATCTTCTGGTTCGGTGTCTTCTACAAAAAAAAATATTTCAGGAAAAATTGTGAATTATGTACCAAATCAAATAGACATACTAATAATACGATAAGTTTTGTCTATGTATTTACGTACTTGTAAACTCTTCAACTGGATTTTCAATCACATCATAATCAATCCAAGTGAGTCCCATGTCCACTTTTTCAGCCAAATCTTGCCAATTTCTCCGATTTCTTTGAACGCCATCTAAAAGTGGTCTTAACCAGGGGAACGTTTCAGATAACACCTGAGAGACAAATAAATAACAGGCCAATGACCAAAAAGTTTTCGTATCATTCACCAAATGAATTACATTTTTAGCATAAAGAAACTTACACCATACAACGGAGTGCATATCACATCAATAAAACTCAACTGCATTTTTGGCAGTTCGTCTTTTTTCTCTCGATCCATCATGGCCTAGAGTTGAAAAGGGAAATAGAAAGTCAGAACTGTTTAGAAAAATAACTTTCTTGTTGTAGGACTAGTAGATTTTGATGTCCAACGCTACCTGTGGTTGAGTATTGAGTTGTTCTTTCTCCAAATCACCTTGATCGAAAAACTCGTCCGCAACCAGCTTGGCAATTTTGTGCTGGATTTCCCATGGCTTTGATATAGCAGCCACGTCACAAGCTGTCAATTACAGATCATTTATTATTATCAATGCATTGATTATATTATTTATAATATTCAATTTATACATAGCACAATAAATTATTATTTATTTTTTAATTTGTACGTATTAACATGTATATACAACATACCTGTCATCATCATTCCTCCCAGCACTGAAAAAGGCAACGTTCAAGTAATTAGCAACTCAAGTAATGGTAATTAGCAAATAAACTTTGTAAATTTAAGTACAAAATAATTACAAGGCATATGCACCCGAAATACGGCATGAACACAGGAATAATACCCTCGACAAATATTGTTCTATGCAAGGAAATCGTGCTTATACTTGCAGATCAGCAGAGAAAATTGTCAGTTAAAAATTATACGGTACACACAGAAAAAAAACTTCTTTCCTTCTCGCTATCAACCCCAGAAGAGACTTTTCCTCTTTCTTTGGCCTTGCAGCATAAAGTATCAATTATGAAGAAACAGGATACAGTGTTTTGCCACGTTTACACAAAACATTTTTGTCCCACGATGCGTCCTCAAAGCAGAATGTTTGCGCTTTGATGTATTTTGTGGAAATGACTCAAGAACAAAGATCCCAATTAGACTCACACACGTCTGACTGAATAAACCAAGTGTGACGATAAGAGGACACGAAGTTATCATCTCACATGAGGAAACTCTTCCTTGTTGTTGGAAAAGTGGGTGAGGCATTTCTCAAAATTCGTACCTCACGGCTACACCTTTCTCGTACTCGATGAACAAACTTTACAGTATTCAAAACCTTTGGGATTCCCCTGGAGCGGAAAAGAGTGACAGGTTGGATAATAATCGCAAAACGACGTTCTCTTTGAACATTGATTGTTTCTGTTTGGATTTATTCAAGGGAAAGAGTAGTGGACGACATTTTGCTCGCTATCATAAAGGAAACTTTTGATCTTCAAGTTGTCGACGGTCAAAAAGTTTAAAAGCAGTTTATGCATTCTAAGGGTGACATGGGTTATGTCATCATATTTATATTTGATACTGACTGTTATATAATCTGCAGACTGTGTTTATTATTTATTCCATTGTGTAATGCACGCGTCCATGAATTTGACGTGTGTATGTATTTCAAACAATGCATATACGAATATAGTTACAGGCTTTGGGCTATTTTTAGTTTTATATAGGAGTACAACTTACAATCTTTCTTGTCATCTCCTTGCCACGAAATTTCTCCATCTTCAACCAACTCGATGAATCTGTCCTTCTTGCGAAAGTACATTGCTAAATCTGTTGAAAGGATGGACTTTTCCACGATTTTCATAACTTTCCTATAATGGTCTGCGGACAAGTCCTAAAATTACGAGAGACATTTTTAAAAAAGTGGATCGTTTTTGTCATGCAAATTTCATGTGAATAATTACTTGAAATATGTTGTTGCCTTCGGAGGATAAAATCATAACACATTGGTCGAAATGATGGTGCTCCATCGTGGACGTGGAGTAAAGCACTGCGAGTGGAGATGCAGTCAACTGTTGGAATGCGTTGTTTGTCCCTCTGATAAATTTGAATATTTTAATGTATAAAATAGTACAAATAGGAGATATATTTATACTTTACCTATGGTCCAAATCGTGACACAAACAAGCGACAACGAGTCCCAAAATCTGTATACAAAGTAATAAGTATCCTGCAGTGAAATGGTTTTAAGGAAAGTATATAAAGTCTCACATCCAGATCATCTAGGAATTGCCCCATCCTTCCGGTTGTTAGTACAGTAAACATTGTCTGCGCCTGCAGAAAGAAGAACGCTGAATTACAACTCTGAAAAATACTGACATTATGCACTGCGGAATTGCTTTACAGAAACTTTTTTTGCTTCAAAGTGTTACATAAGTTAACAAATTGCTACGCATATAAAAATAAATATATTTTGGTAATCCTTGTCATCTAAGCATGTTAATTTATTTACGCAATGTATACACTTTTTTGTCCGTTGGACTAGATAAAATCTGCTAGAATTATTGTAACTTGGACGCATTGCATGTCTGAAAATACCCATAAAGCAACCGAAGAGAATAAATACAGAAGAAAGTCTTACGACGTTGAAAGCATGTCGCCAGTTGTGGTACTTGACTGGACGATAATTTTTCTTTACACTGAGAACCCAACGACACAAAACCTGGAATTGGAGGAAACAAATAGTGCGTGAACAAGACTCAGCGAGTTCATAAAAGTCGGAGAAATTGCTCTTCCAACAACAACACTTTCGCCTTACCGGGTAAGGAATGTGGAACTGTGAAACTAATTTCAACTCGAGGAACATCCGAATCGTGGCCTTGCAGGTATCACTGTCCGTCATGGGGAAGTCATTAAAGGTGTAACTGCACGAGTTGAACAACAATGTCGTCACATACTAACCTCAGAACACAGTTTGGTCACCAACTTTCTCTTTGTGTGAGAGAAATCTTCACAACCGTGACCCGTACGTAATTACATAAATTAACTTTGTACCTGTACAAGTTGTAGTACTCGGAGGAGGGAATGTCGTCACGGCGAAGTCTTTCCGTGTCATCATGAGATGCGGTCGCGTGATATGATAAGCACTCCAGAGCAACGCTTTGCTTAGCCATTAGCTTGCCTGTAAAGAGGAGGAAAAATTTGCTATATTTCCATGCATCACTTCACCCCTGGCAAGTATGCATGCATTTATATTTTAGTTGTTGAATAGCTGGCAATAACTTATACTTTATTATTCGGTTTCCGAACTGAACAATGAGAAAACTTGTAAGATTTTAAATTTACTGGATAAAAAATAAACTGTAAAAAGTATTTCTTTTAAGCAAACAATTAAAAACATGCTTATACAAGTTTTGTGATTTGAGACTATTGTGCAAATTTGGACACGCGATGGAACTTGCAAAGTGAGAAAAAACTACTCACATGCGCTCTCGTACAACTGTGTATTATGAATTCCGAGACCACAGAATATAGCAAAGGCCTCGAAAGTGTTGGCGTCAGTGTCCGTGAAAGGCTGGTTGTTTGCCTATGAAAGAACAAGACAGAAATTATTACACGTACATGTGTAGTTTCATATGTATGGCTAAAGTTTGTATTTATTGGTATGGCATGCATAGTATTCTAGGATTTGCAGTTCAGCCCCGTCGGGTAATCCAGGCTCTCATGAGAAGTTGCCAGGTTTTCTTGCCATCTAATTCAGACTCTCAATTAACAATGAATACTTCCAACTTATTTGGAATATTCTTGACAACAAAAGAAATTATTCAAGACAATTCAGAAATGTATGTCAGATATCGAGATACATTAGATTGAGGGGAAAAACGACGCTACCACGTACACCACCCACCCCGCGTCGTAAAGGTGAGCTGTCCATCAAATGTCAAGTCGTACTAAAAAAGAATTATTATGAAAACCAGGACAGACAGACAGGAACCGGAGCGAAAGAGAATTGTATCCAACTAAATTTCACAATTTTTCCGAGACGACAGTCGAAACCAACATTTTTCTATGAATCTTCAACTAGATAAATAATTTCAACCTTGACGGAGGCCCGTTCGTGCTGTCATTTGGAATGTAAACTTATTGCAGGGAAATAATATAAAGATAAGTAATATTCTGTGCAAGTCTCATTCTCTTCTTATGCAAAAATATTTAACACCAAAGTAAATTACACTCCTTTCACTTCGGGGAGCATAATGTGCTACTGTAGTTTGCGATATGATTACATTTTCATTTGAATAAATAAAGTTTGGTATGGCTTGTGGCGCAAGTAAGATATTCAGAAGAACATCAAAATTTATTTTGTAGCTAACAAATAGTGGAACATCGCTAACCAATACTACAAAATAAATGTCGGGATATTCATGATCGGAAGAAGAAACAGAAAATAGAGTTTTTCCTAAATTGGCAAAGTAAACAAACTACTACAACCATTTCCGATTGTCCAACTTGCTATGTTACTAAAAATGATTGAGAGATATGACGAAATTGCATCCTTCTTGGCATGATATGAAAAAGATTCACATCTCTCGGGGCTTGTCTAACCACATTTTGATACCGTTTTTTTACTATTATGTGGATTGGATCTAGGCCAGCACTATATTTGGAGGAAGCAAGAAGACCACTCAAATATGCATATGCCCACATGGTCAGTTTTATGTATACATACGACCAGAGTTCAGCAGGGTCTGCTGAATGCTTCAAGATATGAGTAGGAAGATAATGTTATTACGGAAGAGATCTTGTAGAGAGATACATTTTACATTATGTGTTGCTCAATAGGATCTTCTTGTCTTGTCAGTTTTGAGATCTCTTCATACATTATTGACTAGCTTTGATTTTTTCGTAGATCTCGTGCAAAAATGGATTGGAAATTAATACTGCATTAGATTCCAGGTGGTCACAAATGAAAATAAATGGCCAACTCTTCAACTAACTTAATTTACAAGTAAAATTAGAATACTTTCACTAATGGGTTTTAATAAATTAGAACTACATGGAAATTATGACGCAAGTTTACTAAAGCAGGATTTACTTACTTTATTTATAAGCTGTGCCACACCGATAACTTGGCGTTGTCCATTGTAAATTGGCATACACAATATACTTTTGGGCAAAGAGTTGTAGAACGAGCTCTCAGCCATGGGGAGAAGCTCTTTGGAATGGTCCAGAGAATCCGAGTACCAGGTTATGGCGTCTCCAATGTTGAGGATCTGATTTAAATTAGCATTTCATTACATCACCACTGCATTGCACATTGATATCGGAAATTTGCATATGTAATTACCTCACTGTTTGTTGCGACGTATTTAGCTATTTGTGTAAGAGGAGAGGTCTGCATTTCCGCAGCGGTCGGTCGTCGTATTTCGTCCGCATGATTATCTCCAGTCAACTCGAATACCAGCTCAAAGTGAAGCCCCTGAAGTGAAACAATCTCGTTTTGTTTTAAGGTTTTAAAATATTTATTTCCATGCGAATAATACATTTGTACAAGTTACTGAAACTTTTACATCATCATTTCTCACCTTTTCCTTCAAAACGTCCCTCATTGTTACAGTCTTGCTCTGGAAAAATGGATCATTTTTAACATGAATGTAATCGCAATGAAGATTTGTGATCAGTTTGAGTAGAAGAATACAAATCGCTGTTAGTTCGTATGTGATTGATTAAGATGTGTGTTGGGCCTCCAAAACAATGGGTTTTTATTCTGCATGATTTTATTTTGGAACAAGGATCAAGCATGCTGACGCACCACGTATTCATTACTTATTGAACATAATACTGTATGTTTTCGATATAGCCGACATTTAAGAATTTCAGGTGGAAGCGTTTTGTAGAATTGAATACTCAAGTAACTGGAAACCACCATCTCGCATCAACTCAATTGTGCCGTTCCACTCGTGAAAAAAAGAAAGTGCGTTGTGCGCGAAGCCTGCCTTGAGCCTCTATTTATGATAAATCCTCTGTCTTGTTGATAACCGAGGAAGGAAGGAACTAGGAAAGACCGAGTTTATCAAAGATTAAACGCGATTCCAAACATTCCTGAAGACTTAAAAATGCTCATCCTCCTTCCTCGATACTGCATTCTGGAGCTGTTTCCCCTCAATGCATGATTTAAAAAGCTGCCTGGATGGATATCAGTTTTCTCTCTCAGAAAATGGGGATGGTCTAACAGCGACGAAACATCATTTGATTTGCTTGAATTTTTTGTCAAAAGTTTGAGTCTGGGTACGACTTTATTTGAATATTTGAATAATTGAAACCTTGGAAGGCATGTTTAGCTTCGAGTTGTCGAGTTTATTGGCAGGAATCTCTTTCCGCACTTGGGTTTAGACTTGAATAACTTGGGCAGCAAAGTAGTAGTGACATGACAGCGTGCAGAAGTTGGGAGTGAGACTGGGTACAGGCCATCATCGTCATGGCCAAGTAGAACTTCCATCCATAAAATCTATAAAATGCAAATCAAATCGCATCGCGTTCTAATTTGGACTGCGAGATGGACCGTAAAGCTCGTCGTTATTGAATTTAAAGCCAAAATTCCAACATTTAATCTATTGACCGTACTACCTAACACGTCCCGCAAGAAATGATGGCCAGCTGCATAGCTGCAGGCAGTGGTGGGAATATTTTATTATTCACCTGAGCAATTTTGCTGAAAATATATATTTATATGCTACATTTATTCCGATCTGGTTTGCATTTAATGGCAGATAGAATGAATTCATGTCTATTCTAAGTTATCCTTATGCGCTTCACAGTGAGAAGAGTCGTCATTGGTTTGTCAGCGAACTCGCATTTTTTTCGGTTGTGAGTAGTAAAATTTTTTTTTTTTTTTTTGCACCAAAATTGTCATTTTAAAAAGTTTTTTTTCAATATTTTAAATTCAGTAATTCAATTTAATTGAGATGACGAATTAATTTTTTAAATAAATTTCAATAAAGAACATCACGTTTTTTTACATTAAATTTTTATTATGTCCCAATTGCCCTCAAACAGGCCTAAAAACTATGAAAACCTCACTCAAAGTGACACTTCAGTGAAAGCCAACAGTCAGAAACGTATTTTGTCATGGGTGAAGCCAACGAATTGTTGTGTCAGCAATAAAGTCGAGTAAAATAAGTAAAACACGCTTCAAGAAAAAATACTGGCGAGCAGGCCCATTTCTGTACTAACTGATATTTATCACACGACCAGTGCCAACTGCTTTACTCGTAAAGCCCGACTTGTTGTAGAAAATGAAGAAATAGTTATTCATTTAATGTCTAAATTGCTTCCAAAAGGCGAACGTGAAGTGACTCAAGTACTTCAACAGTCTGCTGCGAAGGAGAAGAACAAGTCTCTCGAGACGCTGGCATTCACAAAGAAATGGCTTAAATGATATTCCATATCCTGTCGGGAATAAATATCTCCGTGTGCAGGAGAATCTGCTTGTTTGAGTGCAACTCTGAATGCTTCTCTGCATTCAGAAAAGTCACTCAAAATTGTCTGAAACCATTATTATTGTAATAATCATCAATTTACATAAGTTCCTTCCTATGCAGTTCTCCCAAACATTCAGTACACATAAATATGTATTAATCAAACAGTAATTATGGTCATTTCCTAATCTTTACGAAGCCTTTTCACTAAATATTTTGATATGCGAGTAGTAGCGCCCGAAATAATTGTGTGGAAAGCATCAGTGCCTGAGCATCCCTTGCTGGGAATATGTATCTGGTAGTTAGTTATCCTTCCACGTTGTTTGGCTGGGTGGGTACTTTGGCCGTGCAAGTTTGTTTCCAGTGATTGTACGCCATAAAATGAAACACAAAGGGCAAGGGAAGTAAAGGAAGAAGAGCTAGTGCAGGAAATCGATAAATGTTGTAATGTTCCAGCAAGAACAGAACAGAGGTTTCCAGCTTTCTCCCATTTTCGTCGGAACAACCAACAACTCTGAAAAGTCTTCGTCACTCCAAGGAAGAAAAATGGGCTTAAATTTAACTTGAAAATCCGACCTCGCCTCTGCCTTCTTGCCTATTAATGTACGAGGCCTGCATTCCAACCAAATAAAGCTCACTCTGCTCCTGGTACATAAACTAAATCACTCGAAATTGCAACAATGCACACAAGGCGGATGAAACTATGAATGAGTGAGTTAAATCCGTTTGTACCCTTTACAACAACGGTGAAGTGTGGTCTTTGTGGGGTGATCAGACTACTAATGCATATAGCGAGCCACACCAGCAACTAAGGTTGTACATATATTAAAGGCTAATTTCCTAAGATAATAGCAATTTTTGGAATGTAAAATTCTGTTAATTACATCAAAATAATTCTATATTTTGCCATTTCATCGTCAATTACTTTCGGAGGAAACGCAAAATTACAAGAAAAAGTAGTCACACAGTTGTACTATTTTTTAGGTGTGAAACCCTCGGTAGCCGCATATCAGTAGCTGGTTCTGAAATAATGCGGTTGTTACTACCCAAGATCCTACATTGATATGGTGGAGACCATTTGGATCCAATAGATAAAAAGACTAGGGAACTAAACCAGTCTGTAAAGGACAAAAGTAACCTAATAAACGCCTTCATCGGTGGGAAACATTAGGTTCTAACCGTTAAATGATATTAGATCATATTGAAAGTAATCGATAATGACAACCCTACACACTAAATATGCACTAATAATTATTTGAAATTTCAATTTCTTCATGGCGCCAAAATTTAAAGCAAGTAGGCAATCCCAACCCTGTAAAAGAATTTTGTGTACGACGACTGAAACAGAACTCACCACCGAGCATCTGCCAACGAGTGCTTTTAGCGTAAGTATTCCAGTGGCTACTTGGTCCATTGATTTGTTAAAAGAAGCCACAACCGGAATCGACACCATGAACGGAACAAGTTTTTTCCCTCAGTGAGAAGTGTACACGGTGGCTGCGGGAGAAAGTCAGGGAGAAAGAAATGGAGAAAATGAATCTTTTGGGAGTCGGGCACTGATACGCGCGTTCATGTTCGTTCTGCCAGTTCTCCAAGTCTCGAACAACTCACAGTTTTATAGATTTCCTTTCTTTCCTCTCTGATCGGACATATTGCATGAACATTGGCACGAAGAAGAAGAAGACGAAGAACAAGCAGTCCAGCCAGTCTCGGCAGCCAGCCCTTTTCCTCCTCAACACATGTGTACCTACGTACAACTCAAGCCTACCACTAGTATTCATGCTTCCACTTGGAATAAAGTGCTCACAATTCGTGGTCTACAATGGTACAAAACTAAGGAGCTTCTTACGTTGGTGGAATTTTTATCTCATAATTTTTTAGACCGGTAACGGTCCCATTGTTGAAGGAAGCCTCATATTTACTGTAATCATCAGAGAAAAGACTTGACGACGATGCGATCGCGGTAAATAATATGAAAATGTCCTTCTTTATCCATATATGTAAGTATCCGTATATGTGTACAGGTTTGAGTACATGGTTCTGTGCGAAGAAGAAAAAATGGCCAAAAGACGCATTAACTTATATAATATCGCGATGGAACGAATATTCTTGAAATTTAAGGATTTCTCGTGGATTTAATTTTATAAGCTAAACTAGAGATATTCATATTTATTTCTGACTTCATACGTGAATATGCATGAGTACAAGTTTCAATAAGCGTATATCACAATCAGACCCTTTAGATAATGAATGTCTTCCCCATACGGCATACTTTCTCCCTGAATCGTGCATTCAATCTCCCAATTTTATTTTATTCTAACACTTGAATGGCTTGGATGCAATCCGCCTGCCTTACGAAAGGAGGAGGCCATGTGGTTGGTGAGCAAGATGGAAAGCAGACAACGATATATGCAATGTCGATCGAATAATTTGGCTTGATGCTGCAGCTTAAATGAAACACGGCTGCTGCTTGCCGGCCTAAAAGACTTTCTTCACATCAACATCCTCAATATCGTAGAAATAGACATTCGAAAGACCAGAACTGTCCATGAATCAAATGGGCGAACGTCACATTTAGGAAGTTGTAAAGTTAAATGATTCATTTCTTTCGACTTTGTAAAAAAAATCAGGCGGCTAAGCCACCCAATAATCGAATCGAAATACGGATCCACCCACCTCTCGATGATGTTGATCTGAAATGTGTACCCTTTCACTTTTACAATAGCCCTGATCATAAAAGTGTGTGAAAGAATTCCATCAGTCCAGGTTGTGGGGAACGAATCGCATTAAGAATGTGGTGGGGTTGGAAAATGTATCCAAAAGCCCGAGTAGTAGGCAGCGGAGGACAAACAACACCGAGTGAAATGATGGAAACCTTATCCGTTCTTGTCACGAAAGGATATTTCCAAAAAGGATTCAAAAGGAGATAGTTTAACAATGCACAAATAAGTGGGACAAGTAAACCACCTTAAGCAAGTAAGCACTCCACCACTCTTGCTATTTACGTTTATGTATGTACACATACGTACGTACGTACTTCAGACTTTGTGCTGCTTTCACTCGTACATAGAACACCGCACCATCATCATGTCATCGTCAGGCTGTATAGGATTCCCTTAAACTCGAACCTCACTTTTCATTTCCAAAGCTATTCTTGTCATGTAATATATTCTTCTTACATTCTACTTATACCGCTAACTTGTAAGATGTTCTTGATACGCACATATCATATTATTATGAGCCATATAAGTTACTTTGCCAAATATAACGCAGAAATCCCATCTACTTAAACCCCCTCTGAAACATGAGTCTTGATAACATTTGCGTAATTTGCTTCTGCCGAGTAGAAAACAACGGGGAATAAAAATAGATCATAAATTACCTGCCAAATTAAGGAAATCATAGTTTGTTCCTAATTGCGGAAACGTCATTGTCAACTTTTTTTTAGCGAGAGTTCTGTGTTTTTCACTAGTCGGGCAGTGGGATGCTACTTATGCTAATGATGCTATCTGGGTAATGTGACACTTGATGTTATCAATTTTTGTATTTGTTATTCTTATCTAACCCGCAATATTCACTTATAAACCATAAATGATAATGTGGCCTAGTTATGCTCTCCAGTACCAGCGCAATTACCTGTCCCGTATTATATTTAAATTTAATGATGACGGAGGATACAAATTTTAGACAAAAATGGATTCAATTCGGTGAAGCAGAGCATGAATAATAAATGACCAAGAAAACATATGACAAGTTCCCACCGCACACAAAACAACGGGCTGCCTGAAAGTAAGGAGGAGGCGAAGGAGGAGGAAGCACTAGAGAAGAAGAAGAAGAAGAAGAGAGACGAAGGCACATCATTAAAAATTCATATGTAATTTAGTACCCCTGAGAAATATGAAACAAGAATGGAATCAAGAGACGGATGGATGACAAATAGAGCGAATTCAGTCACCAGTCGAGAGAGAAAGCAAAATAATAGTCTGCCAGGCATCAACAACCTGATCAGAAAGAAAACCAATTTCTTCAAACTTTGAAGCCGGTTGACATCAGCTAAGAAAACCAACTAAGGTTTCATGTTCACTATTCAAGAACATGTAGATGTAACTATTTGGCCTTTCCGAATTTGCTTTCTCTCCTTCCATTGTTTTCCAAAGACAAGAAGAAAAAAAGTTTCGAGTTAGTTGGATATCATTATTATGCTGCTCAAGAATATGTCTCGATAAGATAAAGTTGAATTATAATGGTAACTCGAAGAAAGGGTTCATTCCGCCGAGATTTGAAAAAGAAACCAATTTATTTACAATCCTGGTGGAAAAAATATAAAATTATTATCTTTTCTGAGATAGAGGTACTTTTTTCTGAGGTACAATTTACAAGGAGAAAGTTGCCAAAGTTTTAAGAACAAACTTACCGACAGCTACAGACCACAAAAAATAGAATAATGCAAGGTTTTTAATAGGCAATCAGGAAGAGGGACTATAAGGGTAATTTGATCTTTTACATAGTCGTAATTTAGACCGTGTCGCAGTTTCATTTATTCGACATTTTATTGAGGTTTATTAAAATATAGCAACAGTTCAGCCGTATTTATTACCCCATTTTACAACTGTTCATTATTATTTCCCTGCGTTACGATGATAACTTCAATAATACAGAAATGGCCCATGTTTAGGAGATAAATAATAATGTCGGCCGCATTTAATGGGACCAGCACGACAGCCATGTTATTGCAGTGACTGTTTTATTCCAAATTCTCGTAATAACCATTCTTGATAAAACGCATGCGATCGTTACTATTCTCAACTGTATTTTTCTTAGGGGAGGAAAACTCACTATACCAACGAATATTGGATCAAAACAGTGTAAAGAGGAAACTTAAATAGTAAATCTGTATCAAATTTTGCATCTAAATGGACCAACTCTATATTTAATCTGCACAGTTTCCAGATTCCAAATACGGATAGGACCAAAAAGCTTAATTTGTGCTCAATAAATTAAACTTGCTTTCCCCTCTTGAGCACGACACACCTAAGAATCATTTAAACCCTGTTTGTGGGTTATAAATTCCAATGTCACGAAAGTTAATTGAAATCCCAAGAAAGTCTTATCAGGTTGCATACACATTCATCTCATTCCCCGTGGGTGATTTTCAAATTTAATTCACGACCACCTGGACGGACAAAGAGATGAAGTGATAATATCAAACGGGCCAATGCACCTCAAAGTCATAAGGAACCATTCGTAGTCATCATCATTTCAAACTAAATTAAGAATTTGCCTACAATTGCCAAAAGTAAGTATTGCACGAAGCAAAATTATAAGTTTAAGACGGTATAGTCCACTCACTAATACACTTTGCTTATCTATGCATTGACAGCTACTTTGTATGTAATTATACTCAATTCACCTTCCTTCTCGGCAAAATTGTGACAATCTCGTCACCACGTGATATTCCATTACAACTGAGAAAATACAGAGCGTGAATCAAGATACAAAACTCACTTTTATTTTTGATATAACATTTGTTAGAAAGACCTGGGATTATTGGAATTAGCATGTGTTGTACCCAGATAGTCAAGGAACAGTTCGCAAAACAACTTTTAGTTCTGTGCATCAACATGCCCCCACTCCCCCCCACGGAGTGCGAGGTAGCCGTATTAGAGTTTTCCAAAGATAAATTGTACCATAAAAAATTGTTAAGAAACTGGCGACAACTGAATTCAAGTGCCAGTCAAAGCCATGTTTCCAGTGTATTAAATGGCACTGCCATGAAGAGGCAGGGATCATTGGCTAGGGTTCCACCTCCACCAAAGTGGCGTCCAAGATCAGCCAGAATCGAGGATGAGTTGTACTATATTGCAAATTCTAGCAATAAGGAAAATCCGTGAGCCCAGAAAAGTACGCAAAATGTTGGGGCTGAGTCAGGCAATAGTTTTTAGGATCATTCAATTTGACCTAAATATATTAGCGCGGAGGAGGACCTTGTGTACGCCCCCAAGCCGTCTTACATCAAGTTTTTCGAAGCAACTTCGCGATAACTGTTTGAAAACTTATTTTCCCGAAATAAATTTTTAACTGCAATTACTCTTGACGAGTCGAATGACATTATTCAGATAGATTATTTTGGTTTTTATTACTTGAAGCAGAGATTTTAAAGCGGACGGCTTGGGCGCTAAGTGGGTTTTGGAAAACTTTTCAAAACGAGTGGAACAAAATCACTCCAAAAAAGTGTTAAACATGATACTAGCGTACAAAAAGCGATTGCACCTCGTTAGACAAACTAATGGGCTACACATTGAAGCAATTTACAAAATTCACAAACGAGGAATAAAGCTGTAGAAAAATAAATAAAAGTGAGTTTTGTATCTTGATTCACTCTCTGTAGCACACTCACCTCTCTCCTGGACAAAGGTTTCCTTTCCCCCGGGGCAGACGGCATCATTAGAATTCTCTCAATATGACTCTGCAATACACAATTTGGAGCGATGCTCAACCAGGTGATACTCGTTACGTTGGAAGGCTAATAGGCAAGAACAAGGAAATGAGGAAGGAGAGAGAGAGCAATGTCAATTCATTCCAAAACTAGTCTAAAGGGTAATTGTAATTGAGTTTGAAGTTGGTGGAAGAAAGGAACGTACGGCTTCCATCAAAGGAACGTCTCGCAGATAGACCAAGCATCGCTCGCATTTCAGCAGTCCTTGAGCTTCTTTCATAATCTTGGTAACAAGACGTTCCAAGTTTGTTTGTTCTTCAAATATGCTTCTAGCCAGGTTCAGTAGGAGCTGAAAAGGTAAACAAATACACATTAAAAATTCATTTCTTGGTCAAGTTATGTTAAATAACTGCTTTAGTTCAAATAATCTGTGGGTCAATTTGTACGATTAGACTATAAAATCAAGCGATAATTCAAGATTTGCCGGTTTGGAGTCCACTCAATCAGAGTGTTAATAAGTATGTACTTAGGAAATCCTTAAATGGTTTCTCGATCCCCATATCTCATCAATAGATATAGGGATTATACCTGAGCAACTAGATAGCCACTGTCATACGGTGTAAGTAAGAGGATATGCAATAGATCTGATGGATGATCTGAGCATTGGGCTCCTCCAACAAGAGGAGCCCTCCTCCCAAAATACATACATACATACCGTCTTGCATACGTTCCATTAACCTTTAAATCCATCTGCGTTACACCAGTATAATGTCATTTTGAGATTTTAATGGTATAGGTGTTAAACAGACATAGAACTTTGTGGATGAAAGTTTGTACATGGCGACTGCTTAAAGATCCAAGCATTTTTAGTGGCTCTTAGCACAATGAAAATCCTATTTCTTTCTCCGTGGTTTCCCATCAGTTACAGACAGTAACCGCAAAAAGACGGCAACATCTGGTGTGAAAGATGTGAGGAAATTTAATTACATACAACTAATTATTTATCATGTACAACACAGAATGAATGAGACAAGTGCTGGCGAGAAGGATATCCGTGCTGGAGTAAAGTGCGTGGTAAATTGTGGAGACCAAAAGTGTAAGTGGTGACTTTCTGTGGCAGGGTAACTTAAGTCAATTTGAGTTATTTTCCCAGAACGAGGTTAATTCGCACGAGAAAGCTGAATGTGAATGATGACCGCAAAAGCGAATGGTAAAAATTTCTGGGCGACATAGATGACACGATGAAGAATTAAATTATACGAAAGGTACGGTAAAAAATAGGAATCGAATTTAGTCTCATGAACACTAGCAGTAAGAAGATTTAGTTTCTTTGGATTTTAGCGTTTAATTGATGAAGTAATCCAAGGATAAGTCGTAAAGCATTGTCTGCCAATAATGAAGAAAAGTGTGACATCCCCTACTTCTCTACCAGAGTTTAGTGTAATTGCAAATGTTATCTAACACTTACGTAATGCTCAATAAATTTATAATCCCCACGACCGCCTTATGCCCCAAGGATGTAAGATCCACTTGTGTAATAACTACGAAAATCATGAGGCTGGTATTGGTTTTACAAAGTACATAAAGCAGAAAACTGCACGAACCTACGTATGTATTTACACACATATGTTTTGTACGCAAATATGAAAAACCAGGTATGCCCTGTTTACTATGTGGTTCACAATTTCCAAATACAAATAGCAAATATTCAGCGACAAATGTCACGTCCTCCATTCAACGATGATCTCCTACATGCATTGGAAAGATTCATCAGTCAACAGAAATATGAATTCCTAGGAGGCTGAGTGACATTAAAATTACAATTTTTAAGCCATTGTCATTCCGCTCGGTGAAAAGAACCAACAATAAGAAAATACTCTAGCGAAAGGAATCTCATTTGGTATTTGGCATTCGTGATATCCTGATTTTTTTCCAATCTCGTTCTTCCTCGGATTCCCAGTTTGCTGGCGTCACCCACAACCGCCGTGTGAGTGTGTGTTACGCAACCATATTCCTCAGATATCCAATGGTTGTTTAAATAAGTGACAAATGAAACTATGGAATGAGTCTCTTGTGGTGGTCAGTGGACGAAATGCGCACAAAGTGGAGTGACTGGGTGCATTTTTGCTCTATCCTGCGACCCAGAGGAGGCAGGGAGTGGAATATGTAAGCTAGGCAAGGTTGTAGGGTGAATGTGGCAGTCGGAAATATGGGATATTGTGTGTGTATATCTGTACTTGGGTGGGGAGACGAGTGGGATTCAACAAAAGAGAAAGTCGAAAAGACAATGTTTCAACGAACGGAGTTGCATGGTTCTCTCACGCCTTTTCCTTGAACTGGAGCCGCAAACGAGCAAGAGGATAAAAGTCATGATGAGAATCTTAAATGAACCTCTCACTACTTGGCTGCTGCGTCTCCGTCCTCCACCACCACCACTTTCTCCACTTTCTCCTCACCCTGCAGTTGGAACAGGCCAAGGGACCCTCACAACGTTTGTCGTTCCCGTCATCAATGGCTTTGTCATAAAAAATACATTTTCGAAGAATAATTTCCTAAAGGGTTGAAATGACAGGAATTTTTGAGAATGCTTTCACTTTCCAGAAAGCAATTGGGAATGTTTAAACAGAATAAAATATGTATTTAATTTTATGTTAATTCGTTATCACATTAACAATTTTTCTGTCTAATTCTTCGCTTGTTATCTGCACGAATTGCTGGCACAATTAGAGTTAATGGACAAAAAGACCAGTGGTATGATGCACCCCAACGAACCAAGTATTACGATTACCCACAAGTTTATGGAAAAGTGCTCTTATAATATTGCATCTTTTCAGCTGCACATTTCCTCAAGCACTCGGCGGCTGTGGCGCATTTCTTCATTTCCCATGCGAAACACTAGACCACCCAATAAACCCGAAATACAGACAACAATACCTCCAAAAATCCTAGTCCAATAAATTAATATATGAGCAAACAAGAGGACAACGTGTATTTGTTCGTTCGCGTGTCCGCAGCTGCGATTCCGTAAGCCTGGATTTTTTCCCTTTCTTTTCGTCGTCTTTATCCTGATTCTTCCGCAGAAGCTCTTCTTCTAGTTCTGCTAGTGCACTCCTTTTTCATATTACACTCATTTTTCTTCCATTTCTCCATGTGTTATTTTTACGGCTTACCATGAAAATATTCCCAGGCCAGAGTTCTACCACTACTCGGCTGAGAAGGTATGATTCTTGCTCGGAATCATTTTAATTTCAGTCTGCAGTCTGAAATTCGTGCAGTTCACGAAATCTTTAGCGAAGGCAAACAGACGTAAATAGACTCGCTTGTTGTAGAGAGGGCCAAATAATATATTATTTTAAGGATGCCATGTTTGCTGTCTTACTAACTTGGACCAAGGGAACAAACGGGCGACTCTGCCACCACAGGAAGTAGATGTATCTTGTTTCGTTTTTTTTACCAGGTCAGCCATGGACTATTTATGAAACTATAATGTCTAGCCAGCCTGATATATCGTCTTGTCTTGATCGTGCTTTCTTTAGATTGGGACAATAAACACTAGAAACTCTGTGATAAAATCGGATCTGTAATCGTACGCCAAGGACAAAATTCCATACTATGTACATACATTTGCATTTTACGCACATGTTTCCAGTAACAAAAGAATTTCATATGACTTTTCCGACTAAAGAAAATGCTATCAAAAATCGCCCAATTTGAAGAAAAGCAAAACCATGACTTTGGACATATACTAATGATGCTTCTTGTATCAACAAGCGCAAAAGTTGCTGAGCTGGCCTCTAAACCTTATGATCAAAGTGATTTTTTAATATTAGACTTTTTCAACGTGTCAGTTCTGGGAAGATTTTTGAAGATCCTCATATTTTAGTGCTAAATTGAGAACGTCTCATCTCATTATTGCAACATCAAACTCTCAAAAATCTGTGTCTCTGTGAATTATTGGGTTCCAGGAACTTCGTGCGAATAAGATTATGAGGCTCAAAAGTTTCCCAGGACTGCGCTTGATGCTCAATTACGGATAAGCGTAGCACTGACAATGGAAGGATGATAGCATGACGTCATTATTTTTCCAGGAAGAAAAAATAAGCCGAGGAGAAAGGTGTCGTATGTCGCATGAAGTTATATTATATTTTTTCTCAGCCTCCAATTCGATCTCGCTCAGTCATGAAGGTTACTCGGCACGACACCCAACCAGCCACAGACGTGAAAAAACGGGACCAATCTATCCTAACTAATTATATCAACACAAATAAATAACCAACGTTGTTAAGCCCAGTCGAGTTGTACATTTTTCCAAGTATCAATAATAGTTTTGAAAAATATTCATTGAAACAAATCAAAATTTCCCGAATGCATATGAAAATGCTAAAAATATATGAAAAGTTTCCAGGAATAAATTCAATTCGTCAAGAAAGTCAAGTGTAGAAACGCAAAGATGGATAAGCCATTTCATTTCTCATCAGTTGCCAGCACAAATTCTTGAAAAATTCAAAGACATGATTTGGATTTTAGTATAAGAATGAGAAAATTGACCTTTACAACCACGCAGACTATTTCTACCGCATAGCGTGGCGAAAGTAATGGGAATTGATTTTTCGCATACCTGATTTCTCCTGTATTCCGCTACAGAGGTGTCAAACAGTTGAGCATTTTGAATCCCAATTCCGCAAAAGGTCAGATAGCGTTGTAGCACCTAAATCAGAAAAAAATTGTAGGTTTTAAAAAACCTTCATCTCGAAGAAATAAGGGTGAGAAACAAATACAAATATTTGCATAGGCAGGCGCTGACTCAATTCGAGGATGAATCACAAGAGGTTATTTGCTCATTAAGTATTCATTCCGTGTAACACAATGCCACTAAAGTGAGGGCTTTTATACTTTTATTACGTCCTTTGTCCATCTTGGATTTAACGACATAATTTCTTAAATTATTTAGTAACGATATCACGCACGAGTCGAGATGAACTACGATGCGATTTAGCGATAGCGAGAGAACTAAGGAGTTCCTAAGTGAGCTTTTACCATACTATTTGTAAGCTAACGATGTTTGTATGTACGAGTATGTACCCGTCGTAATATTCAGTTTGGATGAAAGCCGGGCTAAATATATTATATATTATTATCATAAAAACACATCAGTCCGAAACCTCGTATTTTCACGAGGCTGGCTGTCTTCCTCCTTGAGGAAATTCTTGCTAAACGAAAATCCTGAGTGAAAAAGTGAGATTCGTGAAGAGTTAAACCGCTCGTCCGTAGTGACTGGAATTCCCCCACAAAGAGATTAAATTATGCATAAATCATGAGAACCTAAATTGAAAATTGTAAAGAGCACCTTCCACTTACTCACCCCACTACAAAGTCACCGCTGCAGATTACGCGATCAAGGAAAAAAGAGAGAAATAGATCAACAGGACCTCATGGCTAAAACATTCCTCAACTTCTCCTCACCGATTTATATTTGAGGAAGAGATGGGGTTTTGTACATTGCTCTCCATGTGCAAAACTGCACCGCAAAAATTCTACTATGATTCAATGGTTATGCATGCGCTAAAAGTTCAGTTATATAAAGTTACTGAATTTAAGTTGTAATAGTAACCTTAGACATTGCAAACGAGAGGAATAATTTGGCGACAAAATATTTTGCTAATAAAAATAACAACATTCGAAGTGGAGTCGTAAGAAATATGGAGCACTTTTGACCATCAAAGTTTATCCACATTTTTTTTCTTTCTACCAGCACTTTGCCGTGACCTACATATTTGGACATTTACTTATTAGCCCTTGTGCCTGGGAAGAAAAATTGCTACACTTTCTCGACATTGTTATCATCACTGTAGATAAGATCTGATTGGAACAATTTACTTGCCTCGATATCATGTTCAGTAAAATGATGATCCTCTCCCGACTTCCTGTTGATTAGTTGAGCCACTCCAATCACATCGCCTTCATTGTTACAAACAGGTACGCCCAAAACGCTGTGGACGGGTAATCCAGAGCTTTCACCCATTTCCTCCATGTCTTTGATGAATCTAGTATCCTAGGAAAACAAGAGAAGCATTATGGTTACGTTTTTTAATTGAACCATTGAACCATGAACGACCCACTCGAAATATAATGAAACAGTTGTTTCCAATGTGTGTCTTGCCAACGTCTCGAGAAATTCTTGGAAGTTTGATGTGAAATAAATTAGTTCCCTTTGTTTGCCTTCTCTGGACAAATAGAATTTTGCAAATAAAGAGAGAAACAAGAAGCGTGGAAACAATAAAGTTCAAACAGGTTCAAATATTTCAGACTTTAAGTTGAAAGCCATCAACGTCTCAGTCCAACCGAGGAGAGCCAGACAAGATTGACAACTTGATTTATATATTTGAAGTTTGTAAATATGTAGGTAAACACACTTTTGGAGAGGAAAGTGTATAAGGTTGTCCTGTCTTAGCAGATTAGGTCGCTGAGCTCTGTACACACTTCGTCGTAGACACACACACTTCATTAGCCAATGGCTTAGAATGGGTGTTCTGGAAACGTATTAAAGCCCTGTCCTCGACGTAAATACGGCATTTTCCTCTCTCCACGAGCAGAAATTCCGCATTTTTTCCTCTGCGTAGAGCAGGTGTCTAACGACGACTATAGATGAGTGAGTCGTAGACTTGATGAGTTTCATGAAAGAAATAAATGAACTTACTTCCTGAATATCCTTGATGTTGATAATCTCCTTGGTTTGAGCAACATGACCAACAATTCCGACTCCAAAAGCGATCCTGGTCTCCTTGGCTCTGGCTTTCTTGAGGCATTCCTCCACATCTGGAACCACAAAGGAAAGTAATATGAGGCAGGTAAATAAATGAGTAATTACTTACTCCTCACTCACCACTTTGCTTTATATCAATCTACGCAGAACCAAACTTTGTTACTTTCACTCACACTCGAAGCAACAGTTCTTCCTCGTATTTGGTACATAAAGGGCATTTCTTATTTATATATAAACACGAATTTACGTCATGCCTGTCTGTTAACGTGAAACACGTCAGAAATCCAAACTAGATCAAAGAATATCACGTTTAACTCATTACAAGTGTTGTAATCATCGAAAGTCTTGTCATGCGTGTTATGTGATCACGTCGCACCTACAAATTAAATTTCTGGTGAAGTAGCGATAATAATCCGGACCTGTATTTACCCTTTCCAGGCAAATTGTTCCAATATTGAATCGCACTGATCTGCGATTCAATACTCGAATTTCATGACGCCTTTTATTATCTCGCAACTTTGTACCAAGAAATTAAATCCAATAAATGTCTTCCTTATAATCTGAAGTAGTCTGGTTAATGAGAGAGATGAGTGAGATGCGAAAATAGGCTCTAATGTAACTGTGTCTGTATTAATTCAATTATGAAGCAAATACATTTTACTAAGAATATTAGTATAATGACGACGCTTATTTTGAACTCTAATGATACTGCGATATTTATAAAAATCAAAGGCATCAACAAAATATTCTGCATTGGGACAAAGTTGCAAAGTCTGAATAATTGATAATTAATAGGCATAAATATATTGAAAGAAAAGTTATTAATGGATTTGCATTAGTTCGTTACTTTCTTTATTTGATAAGTTGTTATGTTTTTTTCGACCCATTGAGCTCTAATTGATGCGTGGGCTTATACCCATCTTATTCATATGATTATAGGAATCAAATTAATAATATGAAACTATTAATGTTGTGAAACTTGTTGTGTACGATTTCTTTTTTCCAGAATTTTCATAATTGGTTCCTTGAGTTATATTTGCGTAATTGATTTTGATTATGGCACGTGATTAATCAAAGTAACTTTCTACGTTTTAAGAACCTGTCAAAGAGTTTGCATATTAAAATATCACTCTTGGAGGTACTCTATTCTTCGTGATATTCAATCTGCATTATAGAATTTGGGATATTTCGAGAAAGATACTAATTCTTCGTATGTACTTATCTCATGTATAAGTCTTGCATATTTTTAATAATAAGGATCGGTGCAAAATTATACGCAGCTCTTAATTTCTAGAGTTTACGAGTCAAGTGCTGAGCGTGGGTGATCATAAAGCGGCACAAAACGCGTCTTATTCTTGACTTATTTTTAATATTGTCCCTCTTTCTTCCTCCTTATTAATAACGAGCTCCTTTCAAAGAACTAAAAGTGAAAAGAGCTCCCAACTTACCGTCACTTTCTGTAGTAATGTCTAGCAACTTGGTGACCAAGTAGCGCTGTTCAGAAGGTCCCCTCGCCAAGTAGAGATTGCATCGTTCAGCATGAGTGAGAAATCCGACATTGACGAGGATCTTATGACAGAGCACATCAATGTCCAGTTCGTTGGAGATGTCTTTGACCAATTCGATAAATAATGCATTTTCATCAAGAGATTCGAAACGAGAAGTGAGAGGTTCTGCCGCATTTGAGAGGAACCTCCTCTCTCCCCCACCGCCCGACGTCCGACTCTTCGGACAAGTGGAGGACAACCAGGATTGGAATCGATCCGATGTGATGGAATTCCTTTTCGATCTGGAGCGTGAACGTTGGATAAGGGAAGCCTCCTCGGGATCCTCAGCCTCATTGCCTACCGATGACGGTGGTGCTGGTGGCGGGGTTGAGTTGATGTTCTTGTAGCTGCTCTTGTTGTTGTTATTGTTCGAAGTGGTATTTTTTATTTGTTCCGGCTCCGCCGAGGTGCAACAGCTCAACACCTCCTTCACCGTCTCAGGACTCGCTTTCTCCTGTAACCACCGTTGAATGAATTCCGGATGAGACTCCAAGTATTCTTCCAACTCGGGCTGAATAGGGATTGAATTCACCTCCATTTCTTAACTTAAAGTATAAATACTGCTCGTAATTGTCCTTTGTCGCTTACACTTTCACTCCTTCAAGTTCATCTGGGTATGTAATTTCTATGAATTAAGGATTTATTAGAATTGGGTCCACTGAACTGAGTCAATAAGAGTTTTCCCTTCGTTGGAGTCGGTTATAAAATTAGAGGAGAATTGTAAAGGTGATGCACACATAATTGTTCACCAGTTCTTAATTCATTGTCCTCCATCTTCCGAGGACATGCTGCTGCGTGGGTTTAACTTTGAAGAAGCGACAAAGACTGTGGATTTAATTTACAAGTGAACCGTGTCAAGGGAGCGAAGGGGAGTGAGTGAGGTTAACGAATCGTTAACCCGAGTACGGCTTGGTCTTCTGGTTTTGGGTATGGATTATAATTCTGATTCTCGTGTCTTTTCACGCCTGGGAAACCACATCCTCCTTCAGGAGTGACAAGGACATTTAGAAAGGTCCCTAGGAATTTCACAATTTCCAAGCAATTGGCGCACAAAGGGAGAAAGTGGCAGTTGCCGATGGAGTTTGAGGGAAAGTTGACGCAACCAGTCCTCTCAAGCAGTGAGACTCGCAGGAGAGATTCCATCATCATCATATTGTCTCGTCTCAACAACTTTTTTCTCTTAATTTGTCACATTTCCTACGCAACACCAGCAGCACAGAGACCCGCATAAATCATGCCCCACAATACGTCGCCTCCCAGAATCAGAGTTTCTTCTTCCGAGAGAAATTCTCAATTATAATAAGTCAACCGAAATCTGGAATTCTATTGTCTACAGAATTATTTCACTCTCACGGTTTCATATACATACAAATCCACAGAAGCTGCAGCAGCAGCAGGAGGAGCAGTTCTTCTGACGGTGCTGGTGGTGAGTTGACCCGGTTTAGGAAAGATGAATTGCTGATAATCCATTTCCACTCCTCGCCTGGTGTTGATACGAGGACAGAGTTGCTTCCAGTAATAATAAACGAGGTAGAAGAGAGAGAGGGAGTTGATTTGATCTATGTTGGCGGAGTAATGAGTAGTCCATCCTGATGATGAACGAGCAGTTCAAGTCGACTTTCACTCACAGTTCAACTGCTGCGTCGAGATGAGACGATGATGACGACGATGTTGATGATGAGGGAGAGTAAAGTGCTGTGGGCTACTCATGTCTGAAATCAAAGAGAAATTTGCAGTTTTAATAGCAGCATGAAATTCCTATGTACATTGGTGAACTGTATAATTTGTGTAGCGTGGGGGTACGCAGTCCTTATAATAGAACGGACTCATCTCTGGAGACAGAAAGAAAACTTGTGCTTAGATTAGGTGAAAGTTGCACGTGAAAATTGCAACATTGTTTGTATGTCGTACAAAGTATTGTTGTTTTGTTGTTGTCTAAGCCGCCTAAACGTGTCAAACTTAAGTTGTGTAACTTTACTGGATAAGTGGTTAAATCCTAACACCCGCCCACACCACACCACGCGCCTTGATGCTCCTGCTAAGTTTAATCATCTAAATAAGGTTGAAAAACGATTTAATTGTCAGAACATAAAATATATCCAGCACAACATCGTAAAGTTTTGCGAGGATGGATTAGATTTATTTATAGGTGATTCCTTCGAGACTACTTAACTTGTTTCTTCCCAAACTTCTACCAAAACCTGTCATAAAATTGCCAATTCCATTTGTAGAAGCTTCACTGCAAACATTTCGTATCATTTATGGCAGAAAAGCTTACACTCTTGTTTATCGCTTGGTAAGGTGATGGAGATGAATCTGGCACATGAAACTGATCTCGTATCCTATGTATTTATTCAGTTGTCCGGTCTAGCAATTGTTTACAAATGTAAATTTTCCCAAGTATTTATAGAGAATGAATCTGTCTATAGTTTTATAGGTGTTCTCAGCACTTGAAATGTCTAAAAATCCAATGCCTACGGTAGTCTAGTCTTCTGAGCACATCCGTCTTCAGTTTTTTGCCCGTTTGTTCGATTTTTTTTTTCATGGAAGTTTTTTTTAGGTTTGAAATTTTATATTCACCTTTTCTACCTGGCAGAATCCTAGGTAAATTTGCATATAATATTTTGTGTTTTCCGTTGCACGAGCCAACATTTAGACAAGCTTGACATTAACTTTTTACATCCGTTTCTATTGCGTATGCAAATACGTAGTCGTCAATACTGTAGCAGTAATGCAAAATAGCAGCAACAACGCGAGTTGATTTTAATTCAATTAATTAATTTACTCAAGTTTAATGATTTTCGAAATTTAACGGTGTACGTGCCCGTATGTATGTACATATTTCGAGTAAACCCATAAATTGTCACCATTCATTTAATTCAAACGAATCTGTGCTTGTTTTGTCGACGTATTTATTTTGCAGGTAGTAAAACACAAATAAAATTAAGCAAATTCACTTAATCTGATTATTTTAATTAAGCGATAGTGCTGCGAAGATAACGATGCAATATGCACGTAGAACTTGACAGGATTATCTGAAAGTTTACTTAACAGAAAATTTCATCTCGAACGCGTTTAAAAATAAATTTGCATGCTGACGATACATTTTAACTCTTGCTGAACAAATGTCTTGTTTATTCTCCTTGTGAATGGCATTAAGTTACGCAATCTTTGTAATTCCTCTCTTGTAAATCCATCTCAATCTGAATTTAAGTAGGTGGTGGTTCAACTTGAAGGACGGCGACGATGGATGGATGAGAATCGGGAAGGACCTTACTTACCCTTGTAATTTCCTTTGTGATTGAATGTATAGATCCAAACAGGCTTCAGAATATATAACAGGATAGAAATTGAAGAATGAAACCACAGTGGCGTAAATTTAGATTTAATTAAATTCTGAAATCAGTGTTCTGGTGGGGTAATCCCAAACTTAGTGAGAATTCTCAATTTCCTTAAGCTTAACGTTCTGTCGGATTCGTATCTTGGAGTTCGACTGATTGTTTTGAAGTGCAATGATTGCAAATACTTTACTAAATTTCCTAAACTATTGGATGAATGGAGAAGAAGGTGAGAACTCTTGAGTACGGGGAGAATTCTATCGTAACTGATAAGCCAAAATTTTATCGCTGCTTCAGCGAACCTACTTTAAATCAGATTAGAGGAATGTGGAGGGACGAAATGGGTTCCAATTAACCAAAGTGATATTTGAAACCGTTGTTATTCCTCCTTTCCAAACATAATTTCATTTAAGACTGGTTTTAATAGTATAAATATTTATACGGGATCGAGGTTAATTAGATATTATAAGTTGTATAACGTTTGCCAGGTAAAATGACTGAGTAGCAAAATATGAGCCAATTTAGTTATTGATCTAATACATAATGAAATTAAAAGTTGGTTTCTTTATGTTGACTTCTTATCAATACTTATGTCTGTCTGTGGACTGTCTGTTTCAGTTGCAGTTTTAATGATGTCGAACATACTGCGACCGACGAGTAATCATGAAAAGACGGTATGTAATTTTAAGCGGATTTATAAATTATTTATGTATTCTCGTTGGGATAAATGTCCAGGCTTTTCAAGACGAAAAATAACCAACTAGAAAATAATAATCTGCTTTGGCGAAACGACTTTCAACAAGTGTTCTTACGAATAATTTGTTTACCAACATGGACGTAAGTTCTTCTGAAAAGTTTGACAGGCAATGAAGTAATCTGATAACTTTTACATTTCAAACCTCGTCATCAACATCAAAGGACACGGGGGAAGGATTTGAGCGGGACGTAGTTGCGTATACTGAAAATTTATGTGCAGCGATCCACCACTTTGGGTGGACATATTTGTTAAATAGCTTCACAAGTATGGGTTCATGTTCTGAAAAACTTGTCCTTGCGTCCCTACCTCAGAAATATTTAATGGAAAAGTTTACCTAAACCGAGTGGTGACTTTTATTTTAGAATTTCAATGAGTTTTTACCTATCTTTTATTTGACCCTCACGTGAAGAAAATCAGTAAGAATTTTAAAGTCCCACCTCGCCCCTCAGTGGAGCAAACATTACCCCCAAAGGGTGTGGTTATTCGAAATTCGTATTGATTTTCTTCGCCTGATATCAAATATGCAAAAACATTAGATAAAAAGTCATTTGGACACCTGGAAATAAAAGTCACCACTCGTTTAAGGTCAACTTCTAGTTGGACACTTATTAGCTATTTTTTCGAAATGTCAGCTAGATTAGTATACTATTTTTGTCATTTTCCCCCAAAGGCGTAGAACTGCTAAACTGCTGAGCATCGGGAAAAAATGATGAATATATTTCTTATAGAAAAATACGTTCCGCTCAAATCCATCCTGCGGTCCACGGTGTGTCGTGAGAAATGTGGATATCTTTTTTGAGAGAGATGGTCTCGGAACGAATTTTCTGCCTCGTATGATGCATATCTACTCCTCAGTCCCCCAACTTGACTTACTTATCCTTAGCTACAGTATATATATTATGCCTCCATTGAATGAGGTTGGCCTGAATTTGACATCAAAGAAGTTGTCCCTCTGAACCGCCAAGTTTTAGGAGACAAAAACAGTCATAAAAGTTTAATACTGACCCTCTTCACATGTATTTTGGATGAGGTGGCTCATCAACTACACAAACCTGTGAGATTGGTTTAGTGGGCCTCCGCTTAATTCTGTAAATGTGGAACGTCTATCCTTTACCCACCACCAACCAGTACAATTCTCATTTGCAAATATTAGACTTTAGTCTCCGGTCGAGTGAAGAAATTTGATAACAACAGACAAACAAACAGCGGAGAGAAATCTAGTGGAAATGTAAAACGGCATTCTCTTCTTCGTTTGATTTCAAAGGAATGACATGAATCTGATAAGCTTGATTTCGTTCCAACTGGACAAAATCAGTGGGTGCCGCATAGTTCCTAAAACTAAACTAAAACTAAACTTTCCCTTCCTCGATAACATTAGATAGGAAAAAGGAAAGTTTGGTACTTGCTCGCTCGATCCACTTGCGCTGTTTCATTTCGCTTCACTATGTCATTTCAATAGCTTCAGCAGAAGAGATAGCTTTCCAACTCGTACGTATGCCCTCATCTGTGCTGGCTCATATACTGGCTGGCTGGCTGGTGGTCATCCAAAAAGAGAGGGAGGAAATCGGATGATGGGAGTAAACACATTTTATATCTCACTTTCACTCAGTCAGACTACGTGCATATACGAACGTACAGGAATCGACGCGTACTTGCGAAATACTTAAATTGGGGCCAAATGCATACAAGAAATTACAACGTTGGAGCACAAGGACAAAGCCAAAACCATATATTTTCCGACACAACTTATCAATTAGCCCGACAACAGGAAAAGTTAGGGTATAAATATTTAACCGAGTCGAATCTCCGCGTGCACTCTACAGACAAAGTTTTTTTACAGTAGTTGTGAAAATAAGTAAAAATCCGAGGGGTTTCTCAATTAATTAGCAAGTTTACTTCTCCGATTCAGACAATAGTACGGATGACAAAAGTATTAGAGGATGGTGAAATGACCTCCCAGGAACAATGAATCTAGACACGATTTGTGAAGTGGGATCCTTAATGTATTTATATCCCCTCTCTGAGGAACTACTTACCTATATCTTACGGGATATAATTTATCTTATATCTTAGAGTATCAACCGAATGACCCAATCTTGGCTGATTGGTCTGGTGTGAGGAGTTGGGGACAAGAAATCGATAATTCAAGATTGAGACGTGAGATAAAAGATGATGAGAAAATAATTGTCATCTCCATCACTCTTCTTGTATATCCATGCTTTGCGTGTCCTTTCACTCAATTTAATGCCAACCTTCCCAGACTCCATCCAATCATGGTTTTCGAATCATTAAATTACTCTCCCCACTCTGAGACAACAAGCATCACTTTAATTAGTTGAGTGAGCAGCTTCCTCACCTCCCGGTTCAGTTGACAGTTTGTCAGCAAACGTGGCCATATACATTTTCATTTTGTTGATTTTTGCAAAGCTCGCAATAACATGTGCTTTATTGAGATGTTAAAGAAAAGATAACCCAATAAAGGGTTATCTTAGGTAAGTATGACCTTTCCTACGGTTACTTTTAGCAGTGTGTGGTAGCAGTTCGACTAAAAACTTTAAAGCTAGTTTACCCCATTTACAGCACATAAAAATGAAAGTCCTGTATAAACCGTGGAATG